GGTTCCTGCTCTGCTCAAGCCCGGGAGGCCGCTGTTACGCAATGGAAATTACAAAAGCCCCGCCTTCCCGCTCTCGGGGCTCTCGGGGGTGGAGTTCGCCTCTGGCGGGTTTTTTGTTTACTTTTAAGCAGTAGCTTATCCTTTGTGATCCACTTCGAAATGATAAATGAGTTTTCCTTCTCAATCTTAAGAAAATTGCCCAGTAGCTGGGCAAATAATAAAAATGCTATTCAAAATCTTTTTAACTTTCAAATTTTGATACGGCCTAAAAAAGAGGCAAGTTCAATCGTCACTTCTTAATTGCAGAAACTTTCCTAACAAGATTTGGTAATCGAAGAGTTCATTTAGTTCTTAATCTGCCCAGGGAAGTTTACTTGCCTGTGTAGCTTTTTTTTTCCCCTCCCAGTACATAGGTTTCCTGAATAATTTCTACCAAAATGTCCTTGTTCTCTATTAGTGTAAGATTAGACTAATAAAGATTGATTTGGAAGAAATTACAGGTTTTGGAATGACACTTGTAGTATTGACTTACTATCTGAATTAAGCGTTGGTAACGGAAAACGACCTGTAAAACAAGAACCAAGTACACTGGAAGCCACCTTGCAAGGGGCAAGACTGGGTTTGGCTTCAGCTGTGGAACTTGGAGCATTTTAGCTTGGTAACATTGATCCCCTTTCAGGTGAGTATTGGACCTGCAATTTGGATTTGAAGGAGTTTTGTTGCTAGTAATGTATTAAAGATCAAAGGCCCCAGACCAAAACTTGAAACTATCCAGGAAATGCTTTAAAATAACAGGGTCCAGACTTAATTTGTTGAAAAGTTACAAATGATGTTAATGGAGATATTTGGATAGAAAGAACTTAGAGACAAATTCGTTAAGTAACTGCTTTGAATAATGGGTTTCATTGAAGGATTGGGACTATCATCTAGGGAGTAAAGTTTGATCTGGAGAGGCTAACTGCTTAATTAGTGCAGAGACCCTAGGAGTTGGTAACTGCTTGGTTCTGGCAGGCTTTGCTTTTGATCTGCTTTGTAGTGGGGGCATTGAATAGGCATTTCATCTGTATCACCCAGAGGTGGTTTTACGTATTAAATTCTGTATTAACGGTTGTTTTCTTTCCAGACTGCAAAATTCAAAATGGGGCTCAAGGTATTCGTTTCATCTACACCAGAGAAGGCAGACCGAGTGGCGAGGCTTTTGTTGAACTTGAATCAGAAGATGAAGTCAAATTGGCCCTGAAAAAAGACAGAGAAACTATGGGACACAGATATGTTGAAGGTTTGATTTATGTTGCCCTAGTAACAGTAAATAAATATTACATAGAACTCTATCTTACCCCTTCTGAATTTTAGGTATTTGACCGCATGGAAATGGTCATCTAAGGGAGTTTGTGGCAGCTCTTCCTAGATTATCTAAAGACCCAGGAAGTCTGAACTGTGTTCTCTAATTTTCCAAAATTGACTAATTCTAAGCACCTCTTTCAGTATTCAAGTCAAACAACGTTGAAATGGATTGGGTGTTGAAGCATACTGGTCCAAATAGTCCTGACACGGCCAATGATGGCTTTGTGCGCCTTAGAGGACTCCCCTTTGGATGTAGCAAGGAAGAAATTGTTCAGTTCTTCTCAGGTATGTAGGCGTGTTTGTTGCTGAGCAGTGAGTTCCGGCTAGCTTCCTAAAAGTTGAGTAGTTTAGATATTTAAAGAGGTTATGAGTATATATGTATATATATGCAGATGAACAAATGTTTTCTTCTTCCTGGAGACCTTCAAATAATTTAAGCCCATCTTAAAGGTGGAAATTAAGTACTTCCAAAATGCTAACTTTGCCTATATTTAGTATTGTAGTTCAGAGTAGATCTTTGAGGATTGTCCTCAACAGCTTAACTACTTTCTTCACAATGCTGTTCAGCAAAGTACTTCAAGTTAAAGGTAAGATCCCTTAACATTAGATTAGTACAAGTTAGGCGGTTGTAATTTATGGCAGGTGTCTGTGTTGTAAGACACAGTATCTCTAACTTTCTATGCAGAAAAACTCTTAAGGAAGCAACTGGTTTAGCCAGGGAATTATAAACTTAGAGTCAGCCTAAGAGTAGGTTAAATGTATAATTTTAGTATCTAAAATATAGAAAGTGTTTTGAAATTGTTCTGGGCCTAAAGTATTTGAATGTTTTTATGCTGAAGAGCTGATAAAATTGCATGTTTAGCAGAGTGTTAGATCATATCTTATACTATTGATATTTATGATGTGATAAATTGGAATTAAAAACAAGAAATCCTTTCATGGTATAGTGTAGTATGTATTAAAATTCTTTTAGATATGTATCAAGTCCTGTATTTTGCCAGAATTTTTGAAATCAAGTCTGTTTTGATTGTTTTGTCTAAATTGGTGAGAATTGAATGCTATCTGTCAACGTTAAATATGAACATAATTTCATATCTTCTAGGAAAGTGCTTTAAGCCCTTTTTGTAAGCTTGGGAATGTATCCACGGAAAGGATTTTTCATAGACGGAATTTCCAGAAGTGAATCATACTACTGTTAGAGCATAAGAGTGCATGATTGTGCTGTGTAGATCAGTTGTTTGTTGAAAGTTTAGATTGTATGTTTGTCAATGATATTACTTTAAGCATTGTTTCAATTTGTATATAAAATGTTTAAATGTGTAAATTTTTTTGTACTTGAAGTTCCACTAACTTAAACATTAAATTATAAAATAAGGTAAAAGGTGTGTTGAATTTAGTAAAACTGTTGTATTTAATGCTTGAAATTTTATTAAATCCTTGTATAATTCTCAACATTAAGTTGCATAGATAAGTGTTCATGATTGTTGAATTCTTAATGCATCCTGTGTCCGTCCAGCAAGTGTTTTCTTATATATCATACCATGGGATGTGTTAAGAATTAAGTTATACTTAGTAATAATGGAACTTCATATTACTGCAATGCATATTTAACGAGTACTTGTTGAAAACATACCGTTCACCTAAGTTAAAATTCTGGTTTATTTAAAGCTATAAGAAGAATCATTTCTGGGCTTGTGATGTTAATATTGCCCCCCTACTGGGGTTATTTGTCCTTGGGTTGAAGGGTTGGAAATCGTGCCAAATGGGATAACATTGCCGGTGGACTTCCAGGGGAGGAGTACGGGGGAGGCCTTCGTGCAGTTTGCTTCACAGGAAATAGCTGAAAAGGCTCTAAAGAAACACAAGGAAAGAATAGGGCACAGGTGGGGATGGATGGTTGGTTGGATTTGTCACTTTTCTTATGGTAAACAATTAAATCCATATTCTCTCTGCTTAGAAGGAAGAAATCTATTTCTAGTCCCAATTAATTGATGTTTGGCCACAGTTATCAAACTTTTCCTATGTCAAAGTCCCATAATGCATTTAGATTAAATTTTAGGTTTTGAAATTCTCAGTTAATTTGGTCTGCTTTACAATTTGTAAGGTTTCTAAATAACCCTAATCGATGTAGTTGAGAGACTATGGCTTTAAAAAAAATGTAATGCAAACCTGGCTTTAGCTGTAATAACACCCACCTAGTAAATTAATATTACCATAAGAAAATGTGATACTTTCTGATCTTGTTTTTAAAGTTGAAATGCAACAAACTTTTTCTTGCTGTATAAATATTCTGCATATGTATTAATAAGCATAGCTTTCAAGAAATTGTCACAAAAGGTTTTATTCTCTCTGCTTGTGACTATTTTTCATTGAAGCATGCGCTTACCTATGCTGATTCCTACTAAAAGCATAGGCTGGGGTATTGGCGAAAGGAAATGTGTAGTGTGGGCTTTAGAAGGTTGGTGGAGGCTGGCTTTTTAGCCCACTTGCTATACATGCTGCCAAAGGATTTAAGACACAGTTGAAAGTTGAGTGGAATTCTTTCCCTCCTAAGACAATTGACAGTAACTCCTCTCTTACCCCTAAGGTTGGGCTCTCTGCCTTAGAGGAGTGAGTTTTCTGTAAAGATTACATAAAATAATTGTACAATTGAGTGAATTTCTGGTCATTGCCTGTGCAAATAAGAAATCTGGCTTTAAATATTAGTCAGTTTCATGGCTATGACTACATTGTTTTCTTGTGTAATTAAATACCTGTATGATGTGAACTAATGTTTTTTCTCCCCTCCCCCTTCCCTTCCCTCGTGAACAATGCTTTAGGTATATCGAAATCTTTAAGAGCAGTCGAGCTGAAGTTAGAACTCACTATGACCCACCACGAAAGCTTATGGCCATGCAGCGGCCAGGTCCCTATGACAGGCCTGGGGCTGGCAGAGGGTATAACAGCATCGGCAGGGGAGCTGGCTTTGAAAGGATGAGGCGTGGTGCTTATGGTGGAGGTATGTGAGAATATGCAGGTGTCAGGAGAGTGGTTCTTTGTGTGTTTTCGTTTGATTGATTGTACTCTTTGTCTTTCAGGTTATGGAGGCTATGATGATTATAATGGCTATAATGATGGCTATGGATTTGGGTCAGATAGATTTGGAAGAGGTAAGGTAAGAATTGAATTTCTCAACTGAAGGATACTTACACACTTGTCCATCTAGACCTCAATTATTGTTTTTCAGGAATGTCTGACCACAGATACGGGGATGGTGGCTCTACTTTCCAGAGCACAACAGGACACTGTGTACACATGCGGGGATTACCTTACAGAGCTACTGAGAATGACATTTATAATGTAAGTGTAAGATGAACTCACAAGTTAGCTATTTCAGTATAGCAGTAAAAATTTAGTTCTTAGTCTGCTTAAGTGAAACTGTTAAAGTTTTTTGGTAACATTCGAAAGTTGACTGGATTCTCTGAAATACCTTGTATTTAGTTTTTTTCACCGCTCAACCCTGTGAGAGTACATATTGAAATTGGTCCTGATGGCAGAGTAACTGGTGAAGCAGATGTTGAGTTTGCAACTCATGAAGATGCTGTGGCAGCTATGTCGAAAGACAAAGCAAACATGCGTAAGTGATTTAAGTATCTTGGGGACTCAGGTGCGGTGGTTGTGTGACTAACATTTGTGATAGAGAAATAGGGTGTATGAAAAATTCACTGATAATAGGTGAGCTCTTGGATGTGTTAAAAAGTTTTAGGTTTTTAAAATTAGTGTGAAGGATTTATGAACATTGATTTAAAGTATATTCTTAATTAAAGCAATGTAGGGGAACCTTTAAAACGAAAGGCTAGTTTTTGAAAGCTGTATACGTAGCTCAAGTAAACTACTTGAGAGAAGCAGCTAGACTACTAGACTTTTTCCCAAAAGAGTATTTCAAGTTCACCAATCTACTTGTTTTAAGACCTTTGCTTGTTTTCTTTCACCAACACACTTTCAAACTTTTTTTCTCTCATTTCAGAACACAGATATGTAGAGCTCTTCTTGAATTCTACAGCAGGAGCAAGCGGTGGTGCTTACGGTAGCCAAATGCTAGGAGGCATGGGTTTGTGTAAATATCACTTTAGTGTCCTTTTTTTAAGCTAACCTTGTATACCTTTTCTCTCATTTCAGAACACAGATATGTAGAACTCTTCTTGAATTCTACAGCAGGAGCAAGCGGTGGTGCTTATGGTAGCCAAATGATGGGAGGCATGGGCTTGTGTAAATATCGTTAGTTTTTTTAAAAACCAAAACATTTATATCTATAAGTCGAATATGTAAGTTATTTAATGAGTTTAGCATAATTAAGGCAAAGGAAGTTTGGATTTGAATTTTATCTGGCTTAAATTCTTGTGAGTTACATAAAGCTTAGACTAGATAATTTTTAAGTAGTTTTGGGGGAGGGCGTTACAGAAAGAACCTAGTTGAATTGTCTGTAAAGTATAAGTCTAAAATTAATATTTAGTAAAGAGCACAGAATCGAAATAACAAATTTCTGGGTATAATTTGGTGGGCATAATCAGGTGTTCAGCGAGAACCCATGTATTGACATAGCCTTAATATATCATGGGGAACAACCCACTAAATCCAGTTAAGCAGTTTCATAAGGTCTCAAAATACCTCTATGGAATCGTGGATTTAGTCCTGCTGATGTATACCTTTGGCCATTTCCTTTAAAAATGTTTGACTAGTTCAAGTGATGACTAGAAAGAGAGAGTGGTTGTAGAAAATAGGTTGAGGGTTATAGTAAGGTCAAGAGTGGAAAATTATAGATTTTAGAGTTACAAGCCCGGTACCACCAGGTACCACATTACATAGGAAACAAGGGTTCTAATGTTCTCTTAACTTAACAGCAAACCAGTCCAGTTACGGTGGCCCGGCCAGCCAGCAGCTGAGTGGTGGCTATGGAGGTGGCTATGGTGGCCAGAGCAGCATGAGCGGATATGGTAAGTGTGTTTTTAATATACTTGGAATAAATTTTAGACGGGTTTCTTTAGTTGGGAATATGCAGGCTCCTTTTTTAGTGAAATTGGGTTGATAAAATGTATGCTTTTTGATTCTAATAGAATTTAATAGGTTAATTTTCAGAACCAATGATTGGGTGGGGGAAGTGTTTTATAAATTATGAATAGTCATTGTTACAACTCGGAATAAGGTTGAGCTAGAATGTATCTGCTTGCATTTATTTAAAACAGTAAACTTTTTCTTTAGCATTAAATCCATTTTAGATGGAGGGAGAATTTAAAATAATGGTGGTTGGGTTCAGGACTGTATTTAGTAGTTAACTTAGGATTGGTTTTATTTTTTCAATTGGTCTAAATGGTGATTTGGTATTATAGTCTTACCCTACAAAATCCTTTTGCAGACCAAGTTTTACAGGAAAACTCCAGTGATTTTCAATCAAACATTGCATAGGTAAATATTTTCTCAAAAAATATCAATTCCCCATAGCAAATACTGATATGTTTTGATAACATTTTCTGTAGCAGTCAATGGCTCTGACTTAACTCCATGGTGGCTGCCATTTTGGGTACAGTGAGTTGCCTTTAGCCCCACTTTGTCGTCTCACTTTCTGCCCACCATGAATAGGAAAAGCAAGAGACTGCCCCTGTGCTCCCTATTTATACATGCCATTTGATGGACACATTGTGAATGCTTATGGTAAATTATTTTTAAAATGCCTTGTTTTAGCTTTTAAAAACAAAGTAATTTTGCAATTTTTGAAAAACACTAGTTTTCCTTTAAACTTAATTTTCCATGTTGATCTTGAAGCGTCCGCTTAAATGATAGCACAAGTCTGACAAGTTGGTACTGCAGAGAAAAGGGGTTAATTGAGACTTGTTTGGAGTCGGGAGTCCCCTTTCCCAAACATGCTTCTCGCCACTTGGACAGCAGACGTTTGTACTCGTATACTTTTTAAATCTTTTTATTATGGAATGCTATATTTTTCTTGGCCTAACAATGTGAAACTTCTGACTTGTCAAATTGATCTCTTTGCAGGCAGCCAGGGAGCGGTGAGCAGCAGCTACTACAGCAGCGAGAGCCGTGCCTCGGTGGGGGTGAATGGGATGGGGGGGGTGTCTGGCGTGTCTAGTATGAGTGCTGGGTGGGGGATGTAACTGACCCCGATCACTGACTCTTGGGCAGCATTTTTTTAAAAGAAAAAAAAAACTTCAAGTTTAACAGTTTTGCAATACCAGCTTGTGATTTATGCTTACTCTCAGTGGAAATCAGGATTGTTTTAAAGACTTAAGGTTCAGTATTTTTGAACACAAACATTCATCTCGGATGTAATAGCTAAGTTGAGTAAACTAGAACTGTTAAACAATTTTTAGCTTTTCTCAAGTTAGTTCTATTGTAGGATGTACTTAAGCAGTAAGTGTATTTAGGTTTAAAGCAGTTGAATTATGTTAAATGTTGCTCTTACATCACATTACATTGAACACTGTTTGGGTGCATGTTGAATAAGACATGCTTTTTTTGTAAAACTATAGGAGCTGTGTCTACAATTAAAAGTGAAACATTTGGCATGTTTGTTAATTCTAGTTTCATTTAATAACTTCTAAGGCACGTAAGTTTAAGCTTTTTTTTTTTTAAGTTAATGGGGAAATTTGAGACGCAATACCAATACTTTAGGATTTTGGTCTTGGTGTTTGTATGAAATTCTGAGGCCTTGATTTAAATCTTTACATTGTATTGTGATTTCCTTTTAGGTGTATTGCGCTAAGTGAAACTTGTCAAATAAACCTTTTAAAAATTGCACTTTGTCTTGTCTGTGCTTCAGTGTCACGTGGACTGTTTCTTGGTGCTCTATTCCTGCCTAGGGCATAGGTGACAGTGGCCCACGTGTCTGGCTGTGGCAGAGAGGCCGGCAGTTGAGGCTGTTGTAGATGTCTTCAGACTTCCCTCCGGTACGACTGAAGGTAAACAGCACTGGGGCCATGTGGAAGAGGCCGGGTGTCTGGTCTGGCTGCACAGGCCACAGTCTCTATACAGCCTTTGACTTGCTAAGTACTTGCACAAAGCAGAGGTGGAAGTTCCCTCACTGCATGCTCTGCATGTCCATGGAGGCCTCCAGGCATGACTGAGGAGGAGGTGCCAGAGGCAAGGGGTGGTGGGAGCCACCCTTCCCATTCGCATGGCATTTTGTTTATATGAGGCCTCTTTTAGGAGCCAGCTCATAGAAGCCTTTCAAGTTGAGGTTTGAATAATATTCTTAAATATCACGTCCACTTAAATTCATTTCTTATAAAGTTTTTAAGGTAAACTACTATGCGTTTGAGAGTAAAAGTGACTAGTTTAAATCAGTAATAGAGATCTATTTGTTTTGGCAGATTAAAACTCACATTTGACATTTGCTGGGAAATAACGCTGGCGTTAGGAAGTTGAAGGTGTAGTTGCAGAAAGCCCTTCAGTAGCTAGTTAAACTGCAGTTGGGAAGCTGCCATTCATTCCTCCACTCGAGGTAGCTGTACTGAGAGTAGAATCTGGAATTTGAGCTGCAGATACAGATAGGCCTGGACTGTTTGAAGTTCCATGTGTACATCTTACTGCTGTGATGGTGCCAAAGCGCTGCTTTCTGGGTGAGATTAATGGGAGCTGTATGATTACAGAGGCCCTGCAGACACTTACCTGTGCGTGCCCCCTGCTGGTGAGCACTGCTCTACACTGTCGGCTCTGGCTACAGAGCAGGTGGTACTTGGAGTGCACCATGCTGCTTCTCCAGCAGGTTGAAAGTAATTTTCAAGAGCACAGTGTGAATGTGGTGGTGAGCTACATGGTAGTGGTACTGCACCCCTGCCCCCCCGCTAGATCTTGGCCGAGTTACTCATCTGGATTGGAGGTGCCTGGTGTTAGCAGGTTCAGGGATCCCTTCTGAATCCTTCAAGTAACTTATTCTATATAAGGGACATTTTTGTTGGAAAACATGGAAGAGAAGAACTAGTAAGGCTGATGAGCTAATTCAGAACCATTTAGGTTTTGAAAAGCAGCTTAGAAACCTCGTGCTCTATGGACCAGCATCTCTACCTGTGAGTATGTTAGAAATGACTGGATTCTTCCCTCTTACCTGCATTTTAATACAAAGCTCCCTCTCTGCCCCCAGGTAACCAACTTAAACTTGAGAAGCACTGCCTTAGACCAACTGTCCCTCTGGGAAAGGGGGGTTAGGGAGGTTACCAGACTAGAATATTTGATGTCTGAGTAGAAAGTTTCCTCCTATGCAGTCAAATATTGGCAACTTTCACAAAGACTGCAAGAAATGCTTGTTGGACATTTGGGGATGGGGTAGGAGGTGAAGTTGGGAGAAAATGGGTGTGATAGAGGGAAGAGCAGTATGGCAGGTGATGGGGACGTCATACTGAGCTGTCAGAACAGCCAGAAGTAGGAAGGTGTCACTTTGCTTTTGTATGTACAGATGAGAGCTAAGGTGCAGAAGTGACTTGCTTAAGGGAACCCCCCAGGAAGCTGGAGTCCAAATGGAGTGCCTTGAAGACATAGGTGTATCTGATGCCAGATGGGTTGGGGTCGTGTACCAGTATGTAAATTATTTGGGAAAAATTGGGCCCCCTTGCAGCCCCCACCAGGGTTAGAAAACCTGCAGCTTGCAGGGCACGTGGCTTTGGAGCATGGATTGGGGAGGCTGGCTGCACCAGATCTTGGTAGCTAATCTCAGGGGACTGCCTGTGTCTCCTGTGTCCAGGGGAGAGCAGCAGGTGGGGAACCTGAGCCTTCTGTAGGGAGTGCCTGCCCGAGAAGGAAGAGGCCAGAGGACTGGTGGGAGGTAGGGATGGGTGGTGGGTTAGGGGTGAGTCCACTGAAGGGTAGACAAGGGCGGGTAGACTGATGAGTCTGGACAGCATCTCATTTCGGTTTTTTAAACTGAACATCCAGGGCTATCGACTCCCGTCTGGCAGTGAGCATGTGCTCAGGTGGGGCTCCAGATGGAGAAGGCTCTGAGCCAGTTTTTAGTTCACAGAGAACACCTGTCCTAGCACTGCTTCTGAAATACAAACCACAGGTGCTTCCCCATAGGCATCCCCATCTGTCATCTATTACCAGTTCCCTAGTAGGTAAGGGGACAATTTTTGAGCTTCAGTGATAGGTTTAAGGTTACTTTCCCTGTGCCTGTTGAACATAATGGCCCAACTTGTCATTGGCTCACCTGGGCAGAGTATAACCTGTACCCCAGAACTCGCAGGCTCCTAGATTGCTCTGAGGTGTCCTCTAACACTGTGAAGTTAATGCAAGCTCTGACATTTTCTGCACCAGAGTGAAAAATGACTTTATTGCAGGACCAATGATAGATCTTGATGAGGGTGTGAAATGGCACATCTTGACTCTGGAGCAGGGAAGGCACACTGGGCAGTGGCAGAGAGGATTGGATTACTCACTACACCAGTACGACTGCTGCCCAATAGGTTAATTCTTTGAAAAGTGAAAAATGATGGTAGCAAAACCACGAAGTTACACTTGACACTAAACCAGTAATGTAGCCAAGTGAGAAGGCCGTATCACTCCAGCTGATTCCTTAGGACTCTGAAAGAAAGGTGCACACCTCCGGTGGCCTGCAGTGTTTCAGAGTGCCAGCAGCAGGCCAAGGACCTTACTGTTCCCTTTGATTCTCTTGGGAAACAAGTATCCTGAGCCCCGAAGAGTCTGGCACTGTCCCAAGGCCCTAGGAGCCAGTGGAGGAGCAGCGCTGCAGGAGCAGGGTGTGGCAACTGTCGCAAACACGCACGGGCTTGGGGTAGGAGGGTAGAGCCAGCTCATTGCTGGAACATGTGTTGCAGAAGATGTGGCCACAGTTTCTGCAGTGGTGCTAGAGGACAGAAAAGAGAGGACGTGCCACACTCCTGGAGTCCCCACACCTACTCCAGATTTCCAACCCTTTCCCCAGAGGCATGTCCCAATTTGGAAGGAGTTCTAAACCTCTCGTTTCCATATTTATGTTCCTGTAAAATCCAGAGTGCACTTGCAGGATTAAAGTTATTAGACTTGACAGCCCAGGTTATCTTGTGGTTGCTGCGTTGGTGGTGCTGACCCATGGCTGCCTCACAGGCCCCTCTTGAGGGGGCATCTTGCTAGGTAAGCAGAGCTGCCACAAACCTGGCACCATGTATGGCCGATGCCAAGCCCAGGACCTTTGTGGCCTCCGCTCCTCCCTGCTCTGTGCATCACTCCTGCCAACTGGCCTGGCCCCATCCCCACTGGGCTAGTAGATAGACTATGGACTGGGCCAGTCAGGTGTGGGGACAGCCAGGCCTTGTGAACAGGGATGATTGCCAAGGCAGCCTCAGGAGGGCTGCTTCTAGTTCTGGTTAAAATTTGGGAGGTTTGCTTCCTCTTTTCTAGAGGCTTTTAATAGGCAAGTGAGAACATGTACCCACGTAGTAGGGGATGGGGTGGTGATGGTAGTGTGGCCCAATTTTGCTTAGGATCTGTAACCTGCCCCTGTCCTGCTCAATTGGTCAGTTAAGACCGTTAATCTTGGACCCAAGGCTGGGCCCGGGACTTTCTGTTCTTGGAACATTATGGCAGGCTACACAGGCAGAGGCAGATTCACAGGGAGCGAGTATCCTGCCCAGGTGGCCTGGGAGCTTTTGGTGCCACTTGGATGCCTGGCTGCTCCTAAGTCCTGATTTTGACTAACTTAGGCAGATTTTAGTCCTGTTGATGACAGAATTTTCAATGATAACATTTACCTGGGACAGTTCTGCACACAAGCAGCCCTAACTCCTAAAGAAATCTGCCAATCATTGAAAGGACTGGTGGGGACAAAGCCTATGACTGACTGGACAGATCCCTCTGAAAGGGGGGCAGGCTGGGAGGAAGCTGTCTGCATGGGCCAGTGGGTGTGACCGTAGTGCGGTGGGCCTGGCCCCAAGGGTCCTTTAAGAGGGAGGTCCAGCGGGCACCAGTGGGGCCTTGGGTGGATGCAGGGGCCAGCCCACATACCTTCCTCCGAGAGATGGAGAACTCCTTCTCACACTGCTTACATTGTGTTGCTTCTTCATCTTTCAGCCAAGTATGGCCCTAGGAAAGAAAAGAACATTGATGGCTCTGTTCCCAATAGCTGCTGTCCCTCATAGCACCTGGATTCCTTTTGAAGGACTGCCTTCTGCTTCTGGTGTGGCCTCAAGACCGAGCACAGCTAGAACTCAGGACTGCAGAGGGGCCCTGCCTTGTGGCTCCAGGCTCCCAGCTTCCACAACCTCCTGTTGGCCTAAGACTTGCCCACCCTCTTTCAGGAAACAGCTGAGATAACCAGAATCAGGGTCTGCTTGCAACCCCAATCCCTGGCTGAACATGGAGGGAAAAGGGCCAACCCTGTCAGTCCGACTAGGACAATCTGGCACAGTAGTCCCTGCCGGGACAGGGCCATGTGCCTGGGAAGCTGCTGCCCACATGCACCAATGCCTCTGAGGCTCAGAGCAACGTGGGAGGCAGCTGAGGCTTTGAGAAAGGCTTGAGTCTCATGTGATTTCTGTCCTTTGGTGCTGTCAGCCGTCAGTGCAGGGACATACAGGCACCTCAGCAGTCACAATGAGCTTTCATGCTACAAGGGCTGGTAAAAGACACGTGGATGGTGATGCCAAGTCCAGGTGCTACCAGGTGCTGTTAGCCTTTGCTGCCTCTGACCTGCATGCACTCAGGAGGCGAGTCGTGAGTCACCTAGTGATTAGGTCTGGTGTTAGCAGGGGGCACCTCAGTTAAGTGGCTGTCAAGCACAGCCGTCACCACCCAGCTGAGGCCCCAGGGCTGAAGGTCCCACCACAGGTGGGTCTGTCTCTTCTCTGAACTGCCCTGGAGGGGGAGGTAGCTCGGGCTCCTTTTCCACTGTCCACACCCTAGCAGCCCAGCTTTGCACCTGCACTGGGTCACCTGGTCCGCATGCTCCTTAAGTGGTGTGTAATTCTGCCCTCCTCCAAATGGTCCAGACACTTGCCCTGCTCAGGGCTTCAGTGGTGCCCATCGTTGGGAGAAAACCCAGGCGTATGCAGAGTGTCAGTGTGAGCTGACTGACACAAGGAGTGCTTCTTACGCTAATAACATGAACAATTCAGTACCTTCAGTGCCTTATTGACTTCCTTGATGTCTTCCATCTTCAGCTTTGACCTTAAAAAAAGTAGAGATCACTCATAGCAGTGAGAGGCTCTTTAACAAAGCAAACTCATAGCAACTGGCTTTGTGAGGGTACAAACTTCGAAGGAGTACAACCACCCAAGTTGTTTCCAAATGCTTTCTTTTTTCCTTTTTATAATCCCAGTCACCTCAACTTTCATTGGCTCATGTATGCTGAGGTCTGAAGCTGAGCCTGGGGGCTGAATCTGGCCAAAAACAGACTGTTTAGCCTGTAAGGGTTGAAAATGACTTCGAAATTTTACATGGTGCTTGCTTTGGCAGCACATATGCTAAAATCAGTTTTTAAATGACTGCAATTATCTCTCAAAAGCCCAGGATTCTGGCTTCTTTGGGCAACCATTCCTGCATGTGACCTGCTTTGGGAGAGGGAGGTGTGATCTCCCCTCCCCTCATGACAGGAACTCAAATCTGCAGGGCTCTCTACCTGGCCCCTTTCCTGCTAGGTGCAGAGGCCATGGCCATTTATTCTTGCTCCATCCAGAATACTGAGGTGCAGAGGCCATGGCCATTTATTCTTGCTCCATCTAGAATACGGAGGCACAGAGGCCATGGCCATTATTTGTTCTTGCTCCAACTTATTGCCCATATGCAACAAGACTGAACATGGTCTAAACTGGCAGAATTAAACCCGATAAAATGAAACTATTTGTAATTTGAGAATGGTCTGAGGCCTTTCCTAAAAGCTGAGATTAGCCTAAACTGTCATTGGATTAGCTTAATCTAAGGGTCAAAGCATCAGGGCTCAGACACAGGCTAGACTTCCGGGGAGGACTTAGGAAACCCAGCATCAGGGAAACCATGGGGCCTTCAGAAATGAACTCAGGAGCCCCTTCCTTTCCTCCTTTCCTTTCTCTCCACCCCTGCCACAACTTGCCACAGACCAAGGTCAAGATGGCAGCCTGAGCACACAAGGGCTTCCCTGGGCAACAACCTGGGAAAGAACCCGGATGTTCCTGCAACGACTGGGCAGCTGTGTCTGTACTGGGTAGGGGTCTGAGGGCAGGCCTTCCCTTCTGTTTCTGGGTGTGGGCTCACGAGGAAGAGGGGAGACAGAACCAAGGCTGGCTGGGGAGCATTTGGCAATTGGTAAGGCAGTAGCAGCAGGGTCCTTTTCCAGACCAGGGCCCACCCATGTTTCTGAGGCCTGTGGCCCCAGGATAGGGTGCTCTGACTGCTCGCCAGCTGTGTGACATGGAGCGGACAAGCAGGAGAGAAACTAGCACTACCCACGTAAGAAGGGGATGTGCACCAGGCCACAGCAGACCATGCCCAGGTGTTCCTCTGTCTGAACAGCACCACAAACCCCAGGAGCTGGCTGTATAGCAGCCTCCATGCATGGTGCTCGTTTAGTCTCAGACACCCCAGAGCTGGCATTGCCCACTTTCCAGGAGCCCCTCAAGCTGGAGACGGGCAAGTACCGGCCAGAAGAGACCAGTGCAGGGCCTTTGGAAGGGATGGGTCAGCAGTCCTGAGCTGGTCTAGAAGGACATGGGGAGGGGGACAGGGTCTTCAGCTCACATTCCCACCAAGCCCTCGCTCATCTTATCGATCTGTCCAGGGACCCCTTCCCTCACCCAGACCACTGCTTTGTCTAGACACCCACCTTTCCAGACTGAGAAAGACCCCATGGTTTGTGCCCATGTGTCCTCTCTATTGTGCTTACAGTGAATTCCCATGTTAGTCCCCACCTCTGGGCCTTTCTGGTCACAGGTCTATAGCGCTGTGCTGGTCACGAGACTCCCATCTCTTTGGTTACCATACTTGTGCCAGGACTCGGGAGCGGTGAGTTGACCTGGGGTCTGGGAGCGATAGAATAAGAGGAACTTTGTTCCTCTCAGAGACCGCCCTGCTGGATGCCATCCTGCCCTTGTGGGGGCTAGGCTCACCTGTCAGGTAAGCAACAGATGGAATAGCCAAGGTGGGAGGCAGAGACTGATTCTGGATGGCTTTTTTTGCTTAAGTCAGTTTGAGTTGGCTTTCTATCATCTGCAACTAACCAAGAGTTCTGACAAAGGAGACAAAGCCGCTCACTGGGTTTGGAAATGCAATAACCACACAAATGGACAAATTGTACAACCTGTCGTGTGACCTATCAGGCTGTGCTGGCAGGGCTGGGACACCAGGGAGAACTGTCCCAGGGTCTGTGCTCCCTCAGCACTACCTGGCGGAGAGACATGGGGGTACGGCGTATGAGCCTCAACGCTCGACTCGCAGTGCTCCCTGTGGTTGACTGCAGGCTGAACGAGCGAGCCTCAGCTCCTATCTGGTTCCCTTAGGACCTACACAGTGAGCTAGTGAACATGAGGGTTCCAGTCACTAGAAAAGGTTATTAATGAAATAATTAAATCAGCACTGTCTCTGAGGCCTGGCTTCCTGAGGGGTGTCACCCTTGAACAGCTGGCAAGCCTCCCTTTCTGACTCTCCCTCCTCTGATAGCAGGACACAGGTGTAGGGCTCGAGCATGTGGTGGGCAGGCTGGTGTGACTCTTCATGGGGTGGGAGCAGGTTCTTACTGGCTGAGATGCAGTCCCATTTCCTGGAGGGCTTGCTCCTGCTCGTCACAAACCTTCTGTAACTCTGCCTTCTCGTCCTGGAGCTCCCGTAGCTCCTACAATGAACAAACCACATAATTGACAAAGTCCTTTTTTATAAGGTTTAGCAATCACAGCGACAAGTAGGTCAGAATATTTTCTAGGAGCAAAAGGTAGTTTTGTTGTGTTAACTTCTTTCAAGGGTTCTCCAGAATGAGTGACAGGGAGGTGAGCAGCTCTGCAGCAGGGACGGAGATGTGGGAAGGAAGCGGCTGTGTTCACCAGGCATATCCAGAACAGTCCCCCTCACAGGGCAAACAAAGCTTTGTCTGAATTTCTATTAAAAGATTTAAAAAAAAATACAACTACCTCAAAAATACACAGATGGAGCTTGGCAAAATCATATGAAGCTTACATCAGTAAAGAGCTGGTTTACTGAATAAACTCTTTGCAAGGAGCTGGTCACAGTTCTTGAGAATGGATGAGCAAGACTGATGGAGGCCAAGATCTGGGGTCTCACCATGGCCAGAGTGTGGCAAGACCTGGAGGCGAGACCCTGTGTATGAGCCATGCGCTTGGGGAGCAAGGCTCGCGAGGGGATGACAATGTTGATGTGTGTAATCTGGGGCCGGTATGCCTGCAAGGCACAGGCTGATGAGGGCCAAGACGAAGAGCAGAATGGCAAGTTGGGTCCAGGGCTGACCGAGGGCAGTGGTGGGGTTCACTCAGGCACACGGCACCAAGACAGACCGGTGATGTTAGACACGTCACTTTGTTTTTGTGCATGTGGTGAAGAGAGGGTATGGAATTCAAACCTTAGGCCAAAGTATTTTGAAGCGGAGTAAAGAGGGCCTGTTCCATGATGTGGCAGAACTTTCTAGAAGTCCTCTTCTGCCCTCTGTTTCCTCTCCTCTCTCCAAGCCTGAGTGGCCCTTAGGTACCTGTCCCCTCCTTAGCGATCCCCACCCCTAGCAATCCCTAGGAGGCTCTCATGAGAGGCTCTAGGCACTTCTGCAACAGAAACTAAATCATGTGGGGGTACCCACTACCACTGTCCTAGCCCCAGTGATCCTCCTCCAGAGAAGGTGATGTGTGGGAAGCCACCTGCGGCTTGGCAGTCCCCTGAGCCTGGTACCAGTGCCACCCGGAAAAGCCATGGAGGCCAGAGGCATCCCTAACCCGCCACGCGGCAGCCTGCTGTAACCAGAACTGCCAGACTCCTCCTGCCTTCTGGGGAGACGCTTGGTGATTTTATAGTCTGGGAAGAACTGCAGACTGACTGGATTTCATGAGAAGTACCCCTCCACAACCAGATGACAACGCCATGGTGGCACCCCCACATCCTTGCTCTCTGTAGCTTCACCACAGGATCTTGGACACACCTTTAGATGAGGCAAGGCCTCCAGAGGGGCAAAGTGCCTCTGGGTCTACTCTAAGGGAGACTTAGGGCCCTGGTCCAGTCGGCTTCCCAGGGATGGCCCAGGACCAGGTGGGTCTTGGGACTCAGGATCCCTGGCCCTTGGCAGAGTGGTCGACCCACCTCAGGTGAAGGTCTGGCATTTGTGGACCATGTTTACCAGTTACTCCCAGTTTTCTCTCTTGCCAGCTCACTACCTGCTCTGCACACAAGTGCAGGTGATGGTCTTAAAGCGGAGTTCGTTCATAGCTCTGAAGGCCCCGGTCAGCTCTGTCTGCCCAAGGCCTCAGCCCCAGCGCCTCCTCCCTCTGCCCGACACCCTGCAGCCACGCTGCCTTCTTTCTGCGTCTCCACGACGACTAAGCCTCGCATGTCTTGGTGTGTCGGCCCCAATCTGCTCGGCTATGCCTTGCTCATCCTGTCAGTTTCAGCCTGCCATTCTCAGATCACTCCGCTGCACTGTAGGGACAGGCTATGAGGGTGCAGGGACAGCACTCTCAGGCCCCAAGCTGCTGGTGTTGGGGCCGAGTGTGCCGACAGGCTCTTGAGCAGAACTTCCTGGAGATGCTGAAAGCTCTTTTCCTACCAAGGAGAGTCTGCCTCACCTTTTTTAATCCTTCCACTTGCTGCAGCTCTGTTCGGAGGAGGGACGAGGTGTCTTTCTCATGCTGCAGTTCTCGCTGCAGGGCCTGTCTTTGCTCTTTCTCAGATTTCAGCTCTTTCTCTAGGCTTGAGCTGTTTCCCAAAACAAATGTGAATGAGCCTTGATGAGACATTTCCCCGGAAAATTCACAACCCAGTTCACTGCCCAGGAAATGGGGAAGTCATGGGATTCTGAGGTGCCACGTGGGCCTCCAGGCCCTTCAACAAAGCATGGAAACAGGGCCCCCTCTCCCCAGGGTCCCCTGCGGCTCTGTAAGGAAGACCAGGGACATGTGGGAGAAGGCAAGTGGCACACCTGGCCGGTCAGCGACGGAGAGAAAGGAGGGAGCTCTCACACACCCGAGCACATGCATAACTCGCCAGAGAGGAGGGGACAAAGCGCACAATGCTTATGCTGCCTTCCCTCTCAGAGTGAGCTGACCAGGAAGGAGACCAGGAGACAGGGTGGGAACCGAGGGTCAGGAGTGCACCTCAACTGAGCGGCCCTGGGGACAGTCCCGAACCCTTTGGGGCTGGTTCTCTGTTGGCTCTGTCACTTTCACTAAGAGCACACGCTCCACCCCACCCCGGCCTTGGCTCAGGACATGCGGGCTGGTGCCTTACCAGTGCCCATGTGCCTGGGACAGCTCCCGCTGAAGCTCATGGCTCCTGCCGCCCAGCTCCCGCTGCAGCTCGTGGCTCCGTGCCTCAGCGCCCTGCCTCGCCCTCTCTGAGTGCTGCACCCTGGGCCAGATGGCAGAGCTTCGTAAGGCAAGACTAAGGCAGGAGTTTCTCATATTCATGCTGGCTTGAGATTTTCCTTTAAGTCCACACACAGTAAAACTGGCTCATGTATGTGTGCAGTCCATGAGTTTTAATCACCACGGCTACAAGGACAGCACAGTCACCCCAGGACACTCCCTGGTGCTGCCCCCAGAAGCCACACGCTTTTGCCACCCCTGATCCCTGGTAACTGCTGACACCATGGCTTTGTCTTTTCTAGAATGTTGTGGAAATGGAATTATACTTCATACAAACTTTGAGACTGACTTCTTTCTCTCAGCATAATAAATTTGAGATCAATCCACATGTTTGTGTGTAGCGGTGGTTCACTCCTTCTATAGCTGAGCGCTACTTCAGTGTACAGAGTTCCTGTTTGTTTATCTGCTTTTGCACTTTTGTAAAAAATCAGTTGCCCATGTTTGTGTGGGTCTCTTTCTAGACTGTATTCTGATCCGCTACTAATCTGATATTTAAATATGATAGTGACAAGGAGCTCACTGTAGAGTCCTGACTCCCTGACAGGTCAATGTGACACAGCAGCCCAAAGGCTGATTAAGTGACTACACGCTTAGGCAAGTGGGGAATTGAGCCCTCTTGCTGGGCAAGGCCACAGACCGAAGGTTAGCCATCCCAACCCATCTGTACTTTAGAGAGAGATTCTAAATCCCTAGGTCTAGAGAATGCTCACACATTCTGGGGATCACCTGATAGGGGGAGAGTGGTTACCTTTGTTCCATTTGTTTCATGCTGGACATAACCTGATTGATTTTTTCTTCAAGAGATGTGATGGTTTCATTCTTTTGCTGTAAACTGCTCTCTGCATCCTGCAAAAGCAAGGCAAGGGGGTGAGGCTCTGCGTTTCCCTCATGCCCAGTTAAGTAGGGTTTGGTACTTTCATAACACTTTCAAGAGTGTTTGGTTAATTGCTGTTCTTCCCCAGAGCCCTTGCCGGATCCAGGCTCTCAGCGCTACCAACAGAAAGAGCGGCAAAGAGGGAGGCAGCGAAGCTTTTGTTTCCTCTGAAGGTCCAGGCTCCTTTTTGAAAAGGACCTTTAGAGTTGGATCTGATTCAACTGGAGCTGTTCGCATGTGCTGGCACACTCGTGAGCTCACGTGATCCTGCAAGGCTCTCACCGTGGGGTTGTTAGCTCACTTCTCTGAACAAGAAGGGAGGTTCAAAAAGGGAAGGCACCTGGGTGAAGGTTTGTATGCAAACGCGGGGGAAGCTGAGTCCATACCCAAGACTGTGACTTCCTGAGCCCAGGCTTTTAACCGTGGCACATTCTGAGTGCCCAGGACGGGACAAAAAAGCACTGTGTTCTGGGGTGTCTGCAAGAGACACTCTTAAAATAAAAGGGCACAGAAAGGCTGAAGACAGAAGCAAGTCCTAATAAATTCCTAGGAGATAATATACAGACTGTATTTTCTGACCTTAATGTAACAAAATCAGACATTAACGTTAAGATGTACTCAAATTCTATAAATCACTAAAAAGAAAAAAACTGCTACTGGAAACATGTCATGCCACTAACTAAAAGATAAAATCTTAATTTCAGAGATGCTAAAATGAAAACTGTACTTCTTAGATGAAATATTTTTGTCAAAATTTGAGGGCCACAGCTAAAGCAGTACTTGAAGGTAATTTTTAACTTAAAAAAATTGTTTTTTAAATAAAATGTATTATAATAATATCGGTTAATAACATTATATAATTTTCAGGTGTACAAGATTATAATTCGACATCTGTGTACTCTATTGCATGCTCCCCACCCGAAGTCTAGTTTCTGTCCGTCACCATATGTTTGATCCCTTTTCCCTTTTCACCCTCCCTCTATCATCCCTTCCCTCCGATAACCATCATACCGTGGTCTGTGTCTATGAGTTTGTTTTTGTTTTGTTAATTTGTTTGAGGCAACCAACTGAATGAGAGGCGATATTGGCAAATGACACCTCTGATAAGGGGCAAATATCCAAAATATATAAAGAATTCATACAACTTAATACCCAAAAGACAAACAATCTGATTAAAGAATGAACAGAGGACCCGGATAGCCATTTCTCCAAAGAAGACATACATATGACAATAGACAGGTGAAAAGATGCTCAATGTCACTTATTATTAGAGAAATGCAAATTGAAACCACAATGAGGTATCACCTCACACACGTTAGAACTGCTATTATCAAAAAATTGACAAACAAAAAGTGGTGGCGAAGATGTGGAAAGAAGGGAACCCTCGAGCACTGTTGGTAGGACTGCAAATTGGTGCAGCCACTGTGGAAAACAGTATGGAGTTTCCTCAAAAAAATAAAAATACTACTCCCTTATGACCCAGCAATCCCATTTCTGGGCATTGATAAGAAGAAATCTAAAACACTAATTTAAAAAGATATATTCATCCCTGTGTTCACTGCAGCATTATTTACAATAGCCAAGATATAGAAGCAACCTGTGTCCATCAATAGATAAATAGATAAAGAAGTGGAACATATATACAATGAGATATTACTCAGCCATAAAGAAAATGAAATTTTACCATTTGCGACAAAATGGATGGACCTAGAGAATGGTATGCTTAGTGAAATAAGTCAGGCAGAGAAAGGCAAATATTTCACTTATAATGAGACACAGGATTCCACTTATATGCAGAATCTAAAACACAAAATAAACCAAGAAACAAAACAGAAACAAAATCAGATACAGAGAATGAATTGATGGTTGCCAGATGGAAAGGAGGTTAGGGGCTGGGTGAAAAAGGGAACCAGATTAAGTACAAATTGGCAGTTACAAAATAGTCATGGGGGTGCAAAGTACAGTATGGAGAAAATCATCAGTAATATTGTCGTAACTATGTATGGTGCCAGGCTTGACCACTCTGAAATGACAGGTATTGCGGGATCATCTTGTAAGGTCTAATCACTATGCCGTACACCTGAAACCAATATATGTCAACTATAATTAAAAATAAAATTAAAAAAATTCACGTACTCAAAATGATACGAGATGTTTTAGAATGACAAGTATGAACACTTTAGATTGTTGGTATAGAGGAAAGAAGATGAGAGTTGGGATTGAGAATAAAGGAAAATGAGAAAATGAGAGATCTTTTATTATAACGTGTCCCATACTGAGGGACACATCTGACCCCTGTGCATGTGAAGCCTGGGGGGAGGGTGAAAAGCGAAAACAGGAACTACCAGAGGGCGTGGGGCCGGGGCCGCCACAGGAAGTCTAACGCATGCAGCACCGACTCAGCAGTCAGGGGTCTGGCACTGTCAAGCAGGTGAGAGCTGGTGACCCTTGTTAGTTATGGCAAACAGTAAAACTGTCACTTGCCTAAACTCAGAAAACAGAATCTGTGCCAGCTGTGCCATGGTTCCAGCGGTTTGAACAAGCAAGGCATGCAAGGGGTTTGCAGAGAGATGGACCAGGACAGAGAGGCCAAAGGCGGGGGCCTCACGGCTGAGAAAAGCAAGCTGCTTCTGACCCTGAGAGAAGTGAGACTGAAGACTGAGCAGTGGAGGCCCCCGACGCCCTGCAGGAGAGGTCGGGTGAGGATGCCTGGACAGCAATAGGAGAGGGAGAGGCTGATAGAGCAAGGAAATGAAGCAGGCACAACAACTGTGCTTAATAAATCAATAGATAAACTGTGGTCATTGACACACGGAGAATGGAAATAAACAGTCCAGAGGCTATGACTGAGGACATGTATTGTCAAAACCGCGAGCCAGGCCTGAAAATTATCGGTAACTGACCCCTAATACATCGCCCAGGCCGGCAAACTGACCTAAGAAGCTGGCCATAAAAGCTGTGTAGCTGCCGAATGCTGTTCTTCCCAAGAACCCTCTAATGTGCCACAGATGTGCCACAGATGATGGTAGACCTCTCAGGGGCCACTTGGGAAGGTTGACAAGTTCTTTAGAAGGCAAAAGCAGGGTAGCCAGACAGGCTAAGAAAAGGTGCCCCTGACCACTGGGCAGCCTTCACACTTCCTGCCCAGGGGATGTGCGATTGTCATGGGCTGTTCTCCTCGTTTCCCTGTCCAAACAGGCACTTCTCTGTGGTTACCCTGTTTGTGCTCTACCATTTGCTGCTGGGAGGGCCAGGTTAATGTGAGGACAGAGGGTCTTCTGGTTCAAACACAGGCCATGTGACCCAATGGGGACTGCTGCCCAAGGCCCAGGAGGGGTGCAGATTTTGAGGATGCAGGGCCTGGAGAAGACTGGCTGACTAGCCCTGCTCTGTGTGATAGAATGGCAGGGTGTGTGCTACTGTGTCTCACGGTTTGAGCAAGAATCCCTGGCGCTGGACTTTTGCTTCTCATGCCCACCTTTCACTGACAAGAATGATGACAATAAGAGTGGCCTTGAGAGCTGGAGCTGCCATTAGCCTGGGTCCCTGATGCTCTCCTTGGAGCTATTATGTAACAGACACAAACTTTCATAGTTTTAAGCCATTCTATTTTAGGATCTGCTAAGTTAGTAGGGTAGTTTAGTTTACCCTAACATACTTTCACATTCTGTCTATATACTGAAACAAACCAGAAGAAAACATGAAAAAATTAAAACAGATAATTTGTTAGGAGGGTGAAACTTTTTCTCCTTTTGTCTTTTTACTTCCATTTTCACTGTTGCTATTATAATGATGATCATGTAAATTTTTATTTTAGGCGAGGCAACCCTTGGTTGACTTTACCAATTGCAAGGACCTTGTCAGCTTACAATCCCTTATTTTTTATTTTTTACACCTACAGCACCTGGTCTTCCAAGGTGGTCTCCCATCCAAGTACTAACCAGGCCCAACCCTGCATAGCTTCCGAGATCAGACGGGATCAGGCTTATTCAGGGTGGCACAGCCGTAGACGATCATGTACATTTTAAAAAGACAGGACAAAATAACAGTTTACTTAAACTCTGCACTCACATTGTCTTTGACGATGATGTTACTGCAAGTGAGACTGAAACCACATCTATGGAAAAGGAAGTGAGACTATTTTGGCAATAAAATAGGAAATAGAACTTCAAAAAGAAAAGTTTTGAGAAGGATACAGAGTGGGATCCTTCTGGGTAGCTTCTGGGCAAGGAAGCCTGACAGTTTTAAATGCTATCTTTCAAACTCTGGCATGGCGGATTCTGTCTGGGATAGCTCCCTTGACCACTCTGAAATGACAGGTGAGGTGAAGTAAGTGGCTTGTGTGGCCTGGAGACTCAGAAAGATTAATTTAATGGCAAACCTTGAAAAGACGATACCAACTTCTATCATTAATCTATTTCTCCATTTCGTGGGGGTAAACAATAGCCACTGAAGCAGAAGGAAACAGACAGCAGGGAGAAGGGTAAGGTTTGGAATCAAAAGACACAGTTCGATTTCAGTTTTATTTATGACCTGTGTCACCAGGGGCATGTGATTTAGCCGCTCAGTTCTGCCTTGTCACATTTTCCCCATTTTATAAACTTTCTCAGGGACTGCTGGGAGACTCAAATAAAATAAATGCAATAACATTGTGTAGGGCCTCGGATCAGGTCTGCCACACACCAGGACCTCAAAGATGTGTCTAGTCTCTCTTTCTACAGGAGGAATGACGGAAGACTGAAAAGCAGACTGTGATAAGACTGAACGGGAGTCTGTTACAAGCTTGACCGTTGTAGACGGCAACAGGGAACCAGGTTGTGACGTGGACACAAAGCCAATCCCCACCTGAACTTTGTGGAACATTTGCAGATTAATCGCTTTGACTTCTTCCAGCTGCTGGCGGAGCGCAACCAGAGTGTCCTGCTTCTCGTGGGTGTCCTTTTCCAGTAACTTCATCGCAATTTCCATTTCGGTTTTCATTCCGATTTGTAACTCCAGTTCTTTTTCTAGTTCCTTAAAATAACAGTAACAAGGAAAATATTACTAAAATAAGTCATAGAAATGGTTTTACTGGGGTTATATCCTGGGAAACACCTAAAATGTAAACCAAAGTCAGAACAGGTTAGGGAGATTTAGAAAAGTCTGTCTAAAGCATAACTGGATTAAGCTTTTTCCCTTTTCTCATTTTTCAATGACAATTGGCTCTGCATCAAGTAGACAAAAGCTGGTAGATGGCAGTATGAGCCTAGAGGCCCAGCAGCCCTGTTCTTCAAACTCTAGGATCAGAGCCCATGGCCTGAAAGAGTATCTGTCTTGTTTCAGTGCTAAAGCCATTTGATGTTGCAATGTTAGAATTTCTGGAATGGTTTGCTAATTTATGGCAAAAAAGATGTAACAATTTTGAAGCAGTTCTGTCCTGGACAATTCAGGAGACATGTTCTCCACATCCAGTCAAAGCAGGTACAAGAACTGTTTGTTTATTAACAAACAGTAAATAAAGTCACTGACATGTAGCTTGGGCCAAAATAAACAGACCAGAGGCTCTGACTGAGGGAAATGTACTGTCAAAGAGACCAGGCATCTGGTTTCACAGCAATTTCTGAAAAAGGTTTATAAAATTGAAAAAAATATAAGTGACAATGCAGAATGGGCTGGTAAACATAGCTTTTTTTTTTTTTAAAGGGACAATTTTGGATTTTCTGTGAGTGTCAGCAGGTTTAAGCACAGATGTGAAAAGCACTGACTGAAATAACTTACGGGGCTTCTGGGGAACCCTTTCTAAAGACATTCACCATAGATAGGACATGGAAGGAATCAAAGTGTCCTATAATAGATGATTGGATAAAGAAACTATGGTACAAATATACAATGGAATATTACTCAACCATAAGAAGAGATGAGATACTGCCATTTGTGACAACATGGATGGACCTCGAGATAATCATGCTAAACGAAATAAGCCAGACAGAAAAAATTGAAAATCACATGGTATCACTTGTATGTGGGATATAAACCTAAAAGCAACAAATGAACAGGACAAACAAACAGAGACTCATGGATATGGACAATAGACTATTGTCCATATGGTTCAGAGGGTACGGGGTGGGGGGAGCGGGGTAGACGGGGTAAAGGGTGTCATATATGTGGTGACAGAAAGAAATCTAACTAGGGGGGGTGAACACACAGTGTAGATATATATATATGCCTTACTATTAAAGTGTACAGCTGAAACTTACTAGATTTCGTTAACCAATGTCACCATAAAAAAAAATTCAAAATAAAAAAAATTGAAAAAATAAAGACACTCACCAAGCGGACTTTCTTCTCCTCCTTCAGCTGCTTCCACACGTCGCTGTACATCTCATCCAGACCTTGCCGAGTTTGCTTGTAAGTCTCCAGCTCAACTTTTGTATCCTGCTTTGTTATCTATATCCAAGAAGAACACCCAGAGGAAAGGTTTGCTTATGGAAAGCAAGTTAACTGCAAAGTATTTAAAAATATACCATAATTTAAAAAAGTACAGCATGATTTCAATTTTTAAGCCTAATAGAAAAAAGTTAAAATTTTAAAGATATTTTGAAATATCTTTGGATTTGAGGATGAGAACAAGCCAAAAGATTTTTTAAAGAAAATTTAGGTCAGAAAACAATTTATATTTACTTTTCTTTTAAACAGAACAATCATTCTGAGTGGGAAAGGCCCCCACCACTCAGTATTTATCAATCATATTTTTAGCACTGGGTAGATTTTGAGATGAATCAGATATAGTCTCTATCAGCAAGTCATTAGGTGAGACAGCTGCAAGCCTGCAATTCTACAAAATGGCCAATGGTTTCTACAAGGAGGGAGGTGCACAGGGCTATGGGAACACGGGAGAAGGAGGGTCCAGGTGCAGGGATGGCGCTGGGGGCGGCATCACAGAAGACCCGGCACGTGACTGGAAGGTGAAGACTGCACAGGAACTTCACGTGCAAAGGCCCAAAGGTGAGGAAGCTGTGGTTCTGGCAAACCCCAAGTGGTCCAGGTGGCCTGAGAGTAACAAGGGAGGGCACAGCAGAAGGAGGCACTTTCTGAGGACTGGGTCATTATTAAACCATGACTTTGAGGTTTGTGACGGACGTGTCTGAGAAACATGCTGCCCAATTGTGAGGTCGATTGCTTACTTCTACACTCTTTTCACTTCTTTCACGAATTAATTCATTTTGTTCTCTTAATTGTTGCTGTTCTTCTTGAAGTGAACAAATCCGGTCTGTTGCAGCTGAAAGCTGATTAAAAAAGATTTTTATATTTCTTAACATCACAATAAATCTTATTCTTCAAATTAAAATCTAACATTTGACATTTTCACAATCAATGATATATTTTCACTTATTTGATATTTGATATTTTTTAAAATTTTATTTCCTTATTTTGAATAGGTAATATGGTCACATGGTACAAAATTCCAAAAAAATAAAAATGTATATAGTAAAATCTCTCTCCCACCCCTACCCATCTCTGCCCTTGCCAAATTTTCTCCTTTTACAAAAATAAAATATTATATAATGTGGGCAAAGATTTAGACACAAAGTGTTAGAAACAGCCTGAATATCCAATATTAGGGAAATGGTTTAATAATTTATAGTGGAAGCATAAAACAAATATGTAGTTATTAACATGTTTGTAAAGCTTTTAATAACTTGAGAACATACTTACAATATCAATATGGAAATGAAATAGGTTATATACTATCTTCTCATCCCTAACTAACAAAAAGCAACTATGTTAAAAACCCTTAAGAAAAGATGGGGACTTTATATACCACATGATAAAAACAGCTGTCACTTAGCCAAGGAATAATGGGCTTTTTTTCTGATTCTTCATTCTTTTCAGTTTTTCTAGCCAATGAGCAAAAAGGTATTTCATCACAAGAGGGAGAACGAAAGAATTCTGGGGTAGAAATCACAACCACACCATCAAAGACGTGACTGAGGAGGACATCATCCCTTTCCTGAATGAGTTATCATAGTTTCGAGAAGCGTACAGAAGCAGGATGCCCCGTGGACCTGCTTGAGGGGAGGCTATCAGGAGAGGCAAGGCAGAGAAGTGCACAGACCAACCCTTCCTTATGCAGCTCTGAATGCAGCCAGGAGAGAAGGTGAGGCTGGAGAAGGAGCAAGAAGCGAGACGTCTGCCCTTGGTCCTGGGCTGTGCTGCCAGCACCATTCACTAACGGGCTGTGACGCACTGGGCTCCTCATCTCCTCCCAGCCAACAGTGTCTATGTCTGCTCAGACTCAGAACTCAGAACTCAGAACTGGGTTTCTAAACACCACCGCTGTGCCCAGTAAGGACCTGAAGTCTTTACAGGAGGTGCCAGTTGCTACAAGGGAAAATGCGGCCAAATTCATAAACTAATTCCCGTTCCACTCTCTGAAGATGCAGAGAGTACACCCGGAAGCGGGGTACACTTTTCTTTAAAGTACATTTTCTATTACAATTGTTTGCCTTTGAAGAAAAAAATAACCCAGTTGTTTAGTTTCAAAAGCTAAATTAGGCCTTCTCTCAAAGCCTGTCGCTTCCTCTGGGAGAACAGAGTGAATCTGCTTGTCCTAAAATCAACGAACATCTCCCCAGTGACTTCCACATGCCAAGTGCTGTATTAGGCACATTTATGTAATATTACTCTAATTTAATCTTTCCAATAATAGTGTAAGGTATGAATTACCATCCGATTTGGGGATGAGAATTCAAACACTGGTCACCTAACTGGAGGCCCAAAGGCCACCGTCCATGGTGAAGGCGAGCCCTCCAGCTCCAAGTGTGGTGAGGCAGCTCCTGTGACCCTTTCTATGGATGTCGCCTTTTGCTGTCCCTCTCCTCACACAAAGCTGACCTCTCAGGAGAGAGAGCAGTCAGTTGAAAGTGGGCCTTACACTGGGTCCTCCATCCCAAAGATGTGCTCTGCAACTCTGGGCTGTCACCTGCCTGTACACAGCGGGGATCCGCTCCCGGGCCCCTCACAGCCCGCTCCTCCCCAGTGACACTTGATGGGGAGGCCCGAGCAGCCGGGGACCGCTACCTGTGGAAAGCCTCAGAAAGGCGGGGCAACCCCCCTCCTGCTAACGGGAGACCAGACGTGTCCACCAAGGGGACTGCCGGGCAGCAGGCAGCGAGCCTTCTTCCTGTCCTCTCATCTCTCTCTTCCTAGTGAGAAAGCAGAGAAAGACCACACTGTGGGGAGACTGGCTCCATGCTCTGGAGAGGCTGAAACACAGGAGGGGTTGGTGAGGGTGCTCGGACCTTGGAGCAGACCTGAGCCCTCCCGGCAGCAGGGAGCTAGTGCACCACAGGGAAGGTGGGGACGAGGAAGAGAGGGCATGTCCACCCTAGGAGCTACGCTGTCCAGTGAGGGTCACTGTCAAGTCATAAAACCGAAGTCACTGAGAACTGGCTCACGGTCGGCTGCGCTGGACTGTGGGAGCCCTGCACAGGGCTGAACAGACACATTGTGGGGGGGCCTGTCCCCTGTGCAGCTCAACCCAGGCCAACCGTTCCCATTCCGACCAGTGATAGGCTCTGGCCACACACACCAATTACGCCGTCTCTCTTAACTGTGGGCTGGTCTCTTTTAAGAATTTCAATAAATTACAAACCTCTTCTTGAAGCTTTGAATTAGTCTTTTCCAAGCTGTCTATCTTGGTTTGAAGATCCCCAACTGTGCAGCTATAGAAAATACAACATTAAGTAAATGTGAACTTATAATAGCTGTTTTCCCACCCTGTATGACAATAAGCGATGACTAGATTTCCTGTATGAAGTGGAGAGGCAAAGAGTCTCTAATGAACCCAGAGGTGAGAATTCTAACTATGTATATACACACACGCGTGTATACATTTATTGAAAAGTTTTCAGCTTCCTCCCCAAAATATGCTACCAATTTTTTTAGTCAACTGGAAAGAAAATAGTTTTTTTTTCCCCAACACAATAAATAGGAACCAAAATGTGTAGCAGTCATAGATCTAAAGTAATGTTCATGACAAGATATTGATATTTTTGGGTAGCAGAGTCAAAGGTGATTTTGAAATCTTATATTTTGCCTCATTTTTCAAATATTCTTCAATATGTACACTTTCATACTGAAAAATATGGAACAAGCTAATGTAGACTTGATAAGTGACACTAGCAATAACCACAGCAGCCACATGGTACAACATGCCAGGCCCTATGTGTTCTAAGCACCTTAAGGTTATCGTCTCTTGCAATGCTTTCTAAAATTCTGTGAGGTAAATCTTATTGTTCACCTACTTTACAGGCAAGAGCCATAACTTTGTACTGAAAACTCACTCAAGTTCACATCCCTTTTGAGGGGGTCCCAGGACCTAAGCCCAGGTGGTCTGGCTCCAGAGCTGCACCTGCAGGCGACAGACCCTCCTGCCCAAACCGGGGCCTTCTGCCTGCAAGGGGGGCCCCAGAAACATGCTCAGCTAGTGAGGTGGGGCTCAAAGCCGGAGGGAGCATTTGGCACCATGAAGCTGGGGAGATTAGGCCTGGCCAAAGATGCTGGATCTCATGGTCCTTCCAGCCCTTTAAGCCTCCCCCGAAGCCCTTCAATAAGATGGTTTGATTCACGCTCCCATCCCAGAAAAATGCTGAGTGAAACAAAAATGAAAATACAACAACACAAAATGAAAAAGGGCACAAAACAGAAGATATGGAGGGAATTAAAAGTTTAAGGTTATACACTTGTCAGTTATATAACAACTGTATAACTTAGGAAATATTAATAAAATTTATATTTTTCTTAGAAAACATAAATTACCAAAAAAGACAGATCCTGCAGAGAAGAAAACCTAGATGTATTAACAACTGAGGGAAAAATGAGATGCTGGCAAAGTTGCATCTCCATATTGGCTCTGAGCTGCAAATGTCCCAGGAGCAAAGCATGCCCAAATGCTGGTGGGTGTTCCCAGACCCTGAAATAAGGCCAAGCTCCCTAACTCATTCCGTGAAGTTGCGTGACCCTGACACAATGCTACCCGCAGAGAACTACATAACAATTAGGTCAGGTGACATGTTCGGAAGACAATTAAATTACTTTACTAAGGCTATGATCAAGTAAGTTTATTCCTGTGATACAGGAATGGCTCAAGATGAAGAAATCCATTAATAAAATAGATCACATGAACAGATGAAGGGATAAAAGTCATGATTAACTTAATACGGCGGTCCCCAACCTTTTTGGCACCAGGGACTGGTGCTCCTACGAGAATCTAATGCCTGATGATCTGAGGTGGAGCCGAGGTGGTGACGCTAGCGCTGGGGAGTGGCTTCAAAGACAGATGAAGCTTCGCTCGCTAGCCTGCTGCTTACCTCCTGCTGTATGGGCTGGTTCCTAACAGGCCATAGACCGATATTGGTCTGTGGCCCGGGAGCTGGGGACCCAGGCCTGAACAGATTCTAGAAGGCATTTGATAAAATCCAGCATCTGTTCCTTATAAAAACACAATGAACTAGGAACTCATCAAGACTCTGTCATCCAAAGTGATGGCCAACATTACATGTGAGAAGTCAGAGCCGCACTGCCCTAGGTACATGTGGCGTGCCAGCTCCTCGCCTGTTTCACTGGCTTTGGGGCCAGAGAGGCAGCTGCTGTGAAGCACTGCTAGTGTGCTCTGTGCACCCTCTGAGGGGCTTCAGAGAGAGGACAGCGTTCCCCAGCACACCGGACCGATGATCCTCACTCAGACCCCACCAACACCTCCAGAGACTAGTGTTTCATGTGACACAGAGGTAGCTTCCTCATTAAAATACAAAATGAAGAGAAAGATGACTACTATGGCTACTGAACTGCTCTCGAAGGCTGAGCCCTATGGTTTCCAAACCTTTATTGCTGCCCCAACACCCTTCGGGGATCTGTGCTGCCTCCCAGTGGCAACAGTGCTTTCCATGGCAATGACTTCCAACTAAGGGGCTGACAGGTGGAGAGTCAAGGTTTTATTCATTTACTTTCTAAATTGTATAACTGCACAAAACAAAGAACCAAAGAATTCTCCAAAGCTCTTTACCAAAAAATCATACTTCTACAGCCTGTACACGTGAGCATGGAATGATAATTTTTTTCCTTGGTTTGGAAAAAAAGTTATAAATATATGGCAACTCAAAAAAGTTCCATGAAGCAATTATCTGGTACTAAGAACGAACCGTGACATGGAAGGAGTCGGCCCTACCTTAAGTGCCGGTTAAGTTCTTCCACATAATTTTTTTGATCAAGGACATCAGTAATTCTTTCGTGCCTTTTAAAAAGAACATAAAAAGAAATCCTTTTTACTGAGGGTTGACACTTTGCCACTGTCCCCCAACCTTCCAATCTCCTTGTAGGAGGCGCAATGTCATCAGGAAACCAAGAGATAGTCAGAACTCAGTAATGTCTGCAGAGCAAGGCTGGCAGGAGGACAGCAGCCCGGGCCTGGGAGACGTGGAAACACACGCCTGAGAGCAGCAGGCTCCTTGCACATGCCCTCAATCCTGTGGCTGGCGGGGCACTTGGGAAGAGGAGAGAATGCCATTGGGTGCAAGGTGAAAGAAAACACCAACATCCACATGCAAATAGCTTCGAGGTGGCAGATGAAACAGCCCTTGTAATAGTGGAGGAAGGCTGGGTCAGAAAAGGAGACTGCGTGACTTTTCAAATCCCAAAGCTGACTAGTCTGGGTTAAAAAAAAGAACTTTAACATTTTAAAGTTCGCCCCCCACCCTTTCTTCACATACATATGTACAGATGTACATACGCAGGATCATTCTACACGGGTTCACGCCACAGGTACCACACTTGTTTTCCAGAGCTGTCATTTTTTTTCCTTTTATCTGCTCTGTCCTTACATAGCTCTCCCAGGTGACCCAAACTCATAGCCTGGTGAGTATCCTATGTATGCATATAATCATCATCACTAACTATTTATCCATCTTGTGTGTGTATACATACACACACGTATATACAAAGTATATGCAATTAAAATATAAAATATATGCTAGGGATCTTGTGGGTTTGTTTTAAAAAATGAGACATATATATTTCTTAGTATCATACGTTTTTCACTCACTAATACCTGTGTGTGGTGGTGGTGGGGGAATAATACCCATGGAAATCCCCCTAAATCCACTATACCAGTAGGTCTAACCTGTTCTTGTTAGGTCTGCATGATATATCAACATGTAATATTATGGATGTTCCATAATTCATTCAATTATTCCTTTACTGATGGGTAATCTGTTTATTTCCAGTTTTTTTTTTTGACATTAAGAATATAGTTTAAGTTTAAAGTAGGTGAATCATTGTACTTAGGGTGCATGAAGCATTAATGGGGTTCCCACTGGTGCCGTCCTTGGTAAGGTGTGCTGCCAGGGCACTGAGATGGGGGAGATGTTTGAAAGACAGGTAACAGATGCATGGGTAAAGCAGTCAAACACAACCCAGGGGTTTATCCTGAAATGCCCTCCTCTCATCATCTCCACAGGCAGTGCTACTGTCAGGTCTATGTGCCACTCCAGAAATGGCCCATGAGCACAAAGCATGACATGTAAAAAGGGTTGGGTGAATATTCTTTTTTATTGTAACGTAAATGGTAGCATGTCATTTACATTGTTGGCCTCCCCCGCCACTGCCCCAGGATACCTTCTGTTAAAAGAATGCTCTGGTTAACAAGTATAGGAAGAACTGCACAAGGGATGAAAGACATCCAAGATGCACTGGGATCAAAGAACAAGTCCAAGGGCAACCTATAGATACACTAGTACCATCCCACTTACATTCAAACAAACTGCAGCAAAATACAGGACCAATGAAGATACACCTGTGGGCATTAAAAAAAGCTTGGAAGGAGATGTGAGTGGCTTCCTCTGAGGAAGGGGGTGGGAGTAGGGTTGAGAGGGGGACAAGGGGACAGTGTGAATGGGGACATTTTACTAGTATTCTGTATTCTGAGAGCTTAATTCCTTAAACAAGGAGAAAAACAATGTATTACCTCTGTAATTAAAAACAGCTAAATAAAAACTAAAATTTCAAATAGAGCAAAATCAAATGTAGCATCCTTTGCCAGAACTGCATTAAAAACGTGGAGAATAGCAGCGCATGACGCAGTACTTACTCTTTGCCTCCTTCCAGGTCTTGCACATCCTTAAGGTAGAGGGAAAAATCGATCACTCCAACCTGATCCAAACAAAATGCACAAGTTTAAATAAAAAATAACTTTCTCACTTTCCACATAAACCTTATGATTTTTAAAATTCTGGGTATTTACATTCCTATCTCTTTCCTACAAATGTTTAGTTAGGCTAATCAGCTTTATAAAACAGCAATCAAACAAACCAAGAGGAAAACAACCTCACTACCCTCTAGAAGAAAAACTTACTAAAAATCAGAATGTAAGGGAATAGTCTGAGATTTTGCCACCACCTAGTTAAGATTATATTTGTGTCTTTATTCAATAAAATCGAGTTGTTTATCAGTGAAGTTCTTTGGGTACAAAGTAATATTAAAAAAAAAAAGAGAGAGAGAGAGACCTGGACCTCTAGACTAGAGTGGTGCCTTGGCTGACACTGACCCTACCTTTCCCTGGGTTGTTGCAAAACGGCCCAGTTGGTACTCCAGGGAAAATTCTGTGCTGCTCTGCGGACCTAGGGAGGACCAAGACCCCCTACATAGCTCAACGTCAAGGGCTTTGTCCGGACATAAAGCATTTGAGAGAGAGTGAGTGAGGGTCCTAGTGTGCCACCATCCTTGGCAGCGTGACTAAGTGGAGAAAGGTTTTAATCAATCACTAGTCCTATCGTAGACCCAGAGGTGACCATAGCAAAGAACAGAGTAGATGAATACACAACAACAAGAAAGAAGAGCCAAGATAAAATGTTAGGCCAAAGAGGAGTAAGTCCAGCACTAACTCCTTATAGTAACCCACTGAAGGTAATGACAGAGCTATGTGGAATGGTTTCTGCAACTTCTCTGTCACACCTCCTACTGATCTATAGTCCCCACCCCTGAACCTGGGCAGCCTCAGTGCCGTGTTGATGTTAGAAAGCAGCAGAAGTGATGCTATGACCGCTGCATCCAGGTTAATGGGGCGACGCAGGCTTCTTCCCAGCACATGTATCTTTGAAATTCTGAGTTGCCATGAGAGAAATATGGGTACCCCGAAGCCACCATGCTGGAGACCAAGTGTAGAGTCCACATCTGGACAGAGATGCTGAGAAGCCCCCAGTTCATGGAGCCTCTCAGTCCAGATGACAGCCAAGTGACAGCAAGCCTCTAGTGATTTCTGCCCTGGCCACCAACTGACTACAATAGAAAGCATAAGAATACCTGAAGTAGAAATTAATGGATTAGAGAGCAAATAAAGCCCACCTTCCAGAGGAGAAGTGATTAATAAAAGCAAGAGCAGGTTCTTTAAGTTCAAAAAAAGAGATTGACCTCCATCAAGTATGATCAGTATTTAGCAAGTACACAATATTACAAATGAGAAAGGTGAGCTTTTAAGAAGCTGTAAGAGAATCTGCTCATATAACAGATCTGAATGAAACACATGACTTCTAGAGAAATATAAATGACTAAAAAACTGTCCTAAGACTTAAGACTAAGACAATAAATTGACCAAGAGCTATGAAAAAACTTAATGTGGTCAAAGAACTGGAACCAAAAAAGGCATAAAGCTGAAGTGGTCATTCTGACAAAACTTCAAAGAAAAAAATAATTCCTGTTCTAATAAACTGCTGTGGAAAACAACAAAAAGGAAGAATATCATCCAGCTTATTTGATGAAGTTTATACAATGCTGACAGAGGAAAGTGACAAAGATAGTTCAGAAAAAATCCAGAACAGTGTCACTAATAAATGGAAACATAAAAATCCCAAACAAACCGTAGGCATGTTAAATCTAGGACACTCAAAGAATAATGCAGGATGACAAAGCAGAGCTTATTTTAGAGATGCAGGCAAACTATCACAACAGGAAACCTATGAATTAATTCAATTATATTTATGGGTTAAGGATAAATATGACATTTCAATAGATGCCAAAAAAAAATATTTGACAGATTCAACGTTTTTAAATAAAAATACAAAGTAAATTAGAATAAAACAGTACTTTCTAAACATGAAGACTCCTCAGACATCAAGAGTAAACACTCATACTTTATGATGACAGATGACAGGCCATTGCATTGAAGAACAGGTTGGGGGCTCGATCACATCTATTATTTAATAAAATTCCCAGCATTTATTTCGGAACTTGACTAAATGATATTCAAGTTCATCTGACAGAATGGACAATGTGAACTGTATGTGAAAAAGAGGTATAATGAAGTGGGCAAGAGGTGCACTATTAGAGTGTAAAGCATACTATGTGGCTCTACTCATGAAAAGACCGAGCTGCTCGCATAGGAATAATGAGATCCAGGGACTAAACAGAGTCCAGAAATAAATCTCAGCATATTATGGATATTTCACACATGATAAAGGTGCAATTTCAAATTAGTAGAAAAATAACATCGCAACGATATTGAGAAAACTGGTTTACTATTTGTAAAGAAATCTAGACTCACATTGCACATTATGTCAAAATGAATGACAGGCAGATTATTTAAGTGTAAAAAAACAAACACACAGTCGATTTAAAAAATAATTTTTTGATGGGGAAAGATCTTCTAAGCAGAATACCTCAGAAGGTATAAAGAAAAAAACCATTAAATTTGATTGGGAAAAAAATATATATATATAGATATATCTATATCTATATCTATATCTATATCTATCTATCTATCTATCTATCTATCTATCTATCTATCTATCTATCTATCTATCTATCTATCTATACATATAGTCCAGAGAAAATCTACTCTGAGAAACCAGAAAAAAAAATTACAACAAAAAATCCCAAAAGACAATTAATATCCTTAATCTGCAACAAAGGAGTGGAAGATGGAAACAACAAAGATGGAAAACTCAGAAAAAATGAGCAAAAGATATAAACAGGTAGTCACAAAAGCTGAACCACCAATGGCAAATAAAACGTGAAAAAAATACTTGACCTCTCTAGTTTTCAAAAATGTAAAGTTGAGAAGCATTGTTTTGTCTGTCAGACTGAAAAAGACCAAGAACGCTCATTGTAACAACATAGCACTCATGCAGAATGTGGCTACTTTGACGCAGCAATCCCTAAATTTGTCTTAGGGAAATAATTGGACAAGAGTACAAAGAGGTATGAGGATGTGTATAATATTGTTGTTGTAATGTGTAAACAACCTAAGTTAATAAGTATTGATTAAATTGATTATGGTACATTCATAAAATGGAATACTATGCAGCCATTTAAAATGGCTTACATCTCTAGTGACATTGAGAGCTATGTGAGAAATACTATTAAAAAATTATAAAATAGTGTGCTTGGAATAATTATATTTTGGTTTAATAAAAAAAAGGAAACTCTAAACATCTCTCTCTCTCTCACACACACACCCCCCCTGCTTATTTACATGCTAGAAGGCTGTATACCAAAATGTAACACTGAATTTGTTGTCTCTGAGTAATGGGATTATATGTTTAGTTTCTTTTCAAATATACATCTCTGCATTTTTTGAAAAACTTTCAACATGCAAAAACCACAAGGCTATTGAAAAAAAAGAAAGGAGAGGTTACCAAAAAAAAAAAAAAAAAAAAAAGAAAAAAGAAAAAAGCTGACCTGGGCATGGAGGGGTTGGAGAAGCTTTAGATTCTTCAGATCCAAATGTGTGGCGGGAAAAAGGCCAAGCAGCAGCCCAACCATGGCTACAAATGGCCTGAAGAGGCTTGGAGGCAGGGACGGGTCAGGATGTCTGTCTCCCTGATAGTTTTATAGTCCCCACCACCAGAAGATCAGGCCTCAGCCCCTGTCACCTGCTCCCATGCAGGAGGAAAGACCATCCTAAGAAGGTTGCCCCACCCCATGAAGTACTCTGTACCTCACTACTTTCTTTTGCACCCCATTTTATCAACCTGACTTCCCAAATCTCCTGACTCTATCTCCCTGCTGCCCATCCAACCTTGGGATTCCTAGACGTGCCTGCTCCATGTTTTTGCTGTCTCTCTCTCGGCCATGACCTAAATGTTGCTGGATTGATCCTTCTCAAACCCCAGCCTGATCATTTCAGTCTGCTGCTTGAAAACCTTCACCAGCTTCCCAGAACTCAAGGGACAACGTGAAGCCCTTTAGCATGGCACTGATGGCCCAAAGCTGAGCCCGGCCTCCAACTTCTCCTCACTCACGGAACATCCTGTGTCCCAGCCACAGAGGAACATTTTCTGTTCCCAAATGTGCTGTGCTTCTGTGTACCTCTGCGCCTCTGCCCATAATCTCTTCACCCCACGCCCCCTCTGCCCCACGCAGCCTCGCACAGCCCTCTATCAGACGCCCTTTGTCCCCTTCTTAGGTTCAGCACTGTCTGCAGATCTTCCGGCCTAAAGAAAGCATTTCACATGGAGCCCAAATTGCTGCTTTACCTGCGAATCCAAGTCTTCCCCTTTTAAGCAGAGGTTGGCATCTAGAACATTGAGTCCCACCAGCAGACCAACGATCACCATCCCCTCTTCCTCCATCATCAGTGCCTCGGGTTCATAGAACTCACTGAAAGAGATTGAAGGCAGGGGGCTGCTCAGGTGCCGCCTCCACCCACCAAGCCCTATTTTCATTTCCCAGCTGGTGGTCTGGCTGCCAGAAGCTCCCTCGGTGGTGGATTTCCTTCGGCCTTTCATTTCTCTCCTGCTGCTAGTGCTGCTGTTTCTTTTCTGGCCTCGCCTCTGTTCCTGTGGCTTAGAATGGGCTCCCTGCCTCTTATCTAAGGGTAACTCCCACGTTGGGACCCCAGACTCCAGTCCTTCTCATCTCCTCTTGGCTCCTATTTCTACACTTACTCTCGGGTCAACAGAAGTGGGAACCCGCAGTTCCCCCACATCCAAGAATAAAATTCCTCCCTCCTCTATGTGTCCCATGAGGCAAGACTGGTGGCTTTTATTTCCTTACCGCCTAGTCACTGCAGAAGTTTGCACTGGGGCTCCATCCCCTGCCTATGACTGCTTCTGGTCCCCAATGATCTGCTTGGTCACTACTGTGTGTGTGTGGATGGATGCATGGGAACTTATTGTCTTAAGAATTAGTTCCTGATGACAAAATCTGTAACTCAAAAGTTACTCAGTGTAACTGTGCTCAAAGTACAAAGGACAGAAATATTTGAAATCAGTATTCATCATGTAAAGATACATTCAGTAAGAGGCCATGGTATGAAAACAATAATTTGAATAAAAGCCCTGTACCTTATAGACCGTTGTTTTAATTTAAAATGAACTACAGAACTATGTTCGAATTCCTTAGCAAAAGACAAGCAAAGACAGGTGATGAAATACCTTAAGAGATGTTTATTGTCAATCAGCACTTTCAGATAATCTGCCAGTTTCTTTTGCATGAGTGCGAGGTAAAGCCAAGCTCTGCCCCTTCCCACAGCTGTCCTAGAATTCAAAGAGAGAATCGAACTGTTGTGGCGTAACAATAACAACAGAAAACAAAGAAAAAGAACTGATTTAGCCAAAGAGAGAAACATATTCACACTTGTGAATGCAGAGAATGTGGTAAGAATAGCTGCTCTGGAGGCTGGTGAGTACACTGTCTGGGAAGGCCAAGACACAGCTCACAGCCTACCTTTGGGTATCGTTTGAATTTTGTATCATGGGCATGTATTTGTTTTTCCTGACAAAAGAGAAAAAAAATCTTAAGCCACAAAAATCTGATTTCTGGAACAAATACAATCAGATAAAACTCTGAGTATGTTAATAAGATTTCACAGGGAGCCAGGAAATATTAGATTAGCTTTGTATAATAGATAGTCTCTCAAAAGATTAATAGATAGAACATTGTTAGTTCTTGTTAAGTGCTGAAGTCTCACAGGGTTTCTAAGGCATTAACTCAAAGGTGCAATTTTTAAAAAATTGTGGTAAAACACACATAACATAAAATCTACTTTTTAACTGTATTGTTCAGTAGTGTTAAGTACATTCTCACTGCTGTGCAACCAGTCTCAGAGGTGTAATTTTGAAAAGGCCGGCTTTAAACATTAGAAGGAAAAAAAGCTTCCCAAGTTTAGATCTAACATTGTTTCAGAAGAAGATCCTGTTCTCTGCAGAGTAACCACATGTGTAACATCCAGGACAGTGTGGAGCCACCGCAGCAGACGTGGGGACTCTCAGGCCTGAAGCCTTGCAGTGTGTCCTGGGTGGTCGCAGGAGCCAGTCCTGGAAGGGTTAATCTAACTTCAACGCAAAGGCTCTGAACAACTCCGCACTCCCCACAAATAAATGATGTTAGACCAGAGTCAAAAGGAGAGGAAATAAAGTAGGAAAAAATGGTGTTTAATGTTAGCATGATGTGGAAAATGGGCACTGACACATGCTGCACAGTGAGAGTGTAGACTGGCACAAGTCTAGCAGTCAATTTGATGGCTGCTGGTTACCCAAACCCTGCATCTAGTAAGGTGTCCTAGGGAATAGTTTAGAATGTCCATAAGAAGTAAGTTTGGGGGTGGTCACCATCACACTGTTTGGATACTGAGAATTTGAAGACAACTACAAAGCCCACAGGGACATTAAACAAATGAGCTGTACAATAGACTGCTATGTGCCCATTTCAAAAATGATGTTGTAGATGAGTATTTGGTATGGAAAAGGGTTTAAAAATCTAACATTAAATGGAAAAAAGGCCACAAAACAATATGTACAGTTTAATACTTAAGTTTTTCCCCTGCTTCCCTTCCCTATACATTAATATACTGTTTTTAGTTTACTTCCAAAACACTTTTATGAACATGAAAACAAATATCAATTCTTATTTTTTTCCCTTTTTATAAAAAGAAAATTAACGTGTTACAATGTCCTGCAACTTGCTTATGTCACGGGGCTCTGCAGCAAAGGTCTCAGCAGGATTTAGGGCGGTTTCAGAGTTGAACAGACCTGTGTCCTCTTTCTGGCCACTGTTCACATCTTGCCAAGGGATCTTGGGCAAGTTATTCACCTGTCCTAAGTCTCAGTTTCTATGTTTGTCAATGGGGATACTAACAGCTTTCCTAGAGGCTTCTGTATATGACTAAATGAGATAATGAAATGTCCTTAGCATAATGCCTGGCACACAGCACACCCTTAGCCAATGTTGGCTATTATTATCACCTGAAAATGGAACCAGCTGGCTCCTCAGAAGAAGGGTCAGACAGAGGCGGGACAGTCACAGGGGCTCTGTTGCATTGGCCAAGGATCTCTAGGACCCCTTCTAAATGCAGACTCCATGATGGCACTTTCTTTGTGTTCTGTCCAGTTTTTGATTTTGAGCCTATGATTGGGACCCGAAGGGCAAATCCAGACATGGCAAATGATTTGTTAGTCTCAGCCTTTTCACAAATGTCCATTGTCCTGGAGTCTAAAATCTGGCCTGAATCATATTATCCAGGAAACTGTCCTGATGTATTGGAAGCAGTAATTCCAGGAGTGTAACATGGACTCCTTTTCTTCTGTCATGGCTCCTCACGTGACAATGCCTTTGCAACCTATTTGACCTTGTGTTACAAGCAGGAATCACTGTCTCCATTTTAAAGAAAAGGAAACTGAGGCTCAGAAAGGGGTAAATCTTGCATCTGGATAATGAGCAGCAGAGCTGGACTAAAGTCTAAGCAGAGTGTGGCTCATGCTACACTTTGTTCTAAAATAAAACATGTTTTTCAGCAAGGAATTTAGAAATATGTAAATACGAGGGAGTTTTTTGAAACATCCAATCACTGTAACGACTTCTCACTCACTTTAATTCTGGCAGATTTCTGACGCTAGTGGCGATATCTGATGCTTCTGGGCAAAGTTTCTCCACCAGTTCCAAAGGACCAAAGAAAGATTTATTTTGGCCAATAAAACTCTTCTTAACTAAAAGGGAAAACAAGTGTTATTTGTGAAAACAGGTTGCAAATGCCTGCAGGGGCCCACGGTCTCTTTCAAAAGCCACATGAATGCTTCAGATTTAATCTTTCCACTTAATCCTTCTGATTTAGTTTTGGGGACAGGGAGAGGCCAAGTAAGAAATGGGCTCTCCCTTCCTCTGGAGACAGGGACTCTCCGATGTACCTACTATGCTCTTTCTCCAAGTATTTTTTGCCCATGAAATAAAACAAGTGTCTCATATGATCACTAGTGAGATTCTTTCTCTTTCTCCTTCCTGCTCAATGCCGAAATCAATATTTGATTTCAAACAAACACCACCACCATCCCTCATCTGAACTGCTGCAATAATCTCCTAATGAGTCTCCCTGCTCCTAACATTGTCACCTCCCTACTCTGACAATCTGTGCTCCACATAGCTGGAAGTTCTTTTAAAAATGTTAAGCCAGGTCTTGGTTTTCCCTTGTTTAAAATCCTCCAAATACTCTTAGGATAAAATCCAATTCCTCACCTGATCTATAATGGCCTACGTGATTCAGCCCTTCCCACTTCCCTGACCTCACTTTTGCCCCCTCAGCACACCTCAGTTACCTGGTGTCTTCCTCAAAACAAGGTGGTCCCACTCAGGACCTCTGCACCTGTTTTTGTTGTTGTTTTGGTTTCCCCATATCTTTGCATGGCTGTCTCCTTCCATAGGTCTCAGCTCACAATTTCACATCTCCGGAAAGAACTTCCCCTCTAATCCTAGCTGAAATGTGTTTTCCATGATTCTCTATCATTTAACCCATTTTACTTCCTTAAATTTGTAGCATTTTGTAATTACATTGGTTTGTTTCTCCATTTATTGTGTCTCCACCTCTAGAACTATGCTGTCCAAGGTACTCACTAGCCACATGTACTACTGAGGACTTGAAATGTATCTAGTGCAATTGAGATGTGCTGAAATGTAACACACAGTGGATTTTTAAGCCTTACTATAAAAAAGAATACAAAATCTCATTAATAAGGCTTTTTAATGCTGATTATGTCAGAATGATATTACTGTAGATATATTTCGTTCGATAAAATATAACATAAAAATTAATTTCACTTATTTCTTTTTACTTTCTTTTTAACGTGGCTACTTGAACATTAAAAATTGCACATGTGGCTTGCATGGCAGTTTCTATTGGACAGTGCTGCTCAAGAATGTCGAGTCTTGTAGCCTGGGACCTTGTCTATTATGTTCATTGCTGTTATCCCAGCAGCCAGAACAATGTGTGACACTGATGAATACATGCTGAGCAACAGCTGGCCCAGTCTTCTCCGTCTGGACCTCCCCACTCCCCCTCCAGGCTCACCTTTCAGCCCATGTTTGAGGCAGTGCTCCATCACCACAAAGAATTGCTGCAAGGGGGCATGCTCAGCATCTAGGCTGCGGCCCAGGCTCAGGGCGGACTGGAGCAAGACCTTAATGCTGAGTTTCATCATGTGCATCAAATTGGCCCGCTCCTCCATCATCTGGCACTTGGAAGCTGTGGGGCAGAAGCGAGGAGAGCTTCGTTAGTGGACTGTATGCGTGCTAGGGTGAGGAGGTTGGAAGCAGGGCAACGAAGGCAAGACCAGCCAGGCGGGGGCCAGGAACGCCGACGTGCGGATAACTGGGGGTCGCAGTCACTCGGGACCGGATTCCTGGAGGTGACAGCCGCACCTGTACAGCCTGGGCGTTGAGTCAGACTCGAGAGGCCTCTCTCCCGCGGCTCTGCGGGTTGCTAGGGCGACGGCCCTACCAAAACTCGCCGCGATTGGCCCCTTCTACACGCGGCATCCCATTTCCAACCCACCGAAGAGCACAAACTCCGCGAGGCCCTACCCCAAGCTAGGGGCGGGCTGGGAAAGTGTTCCGCCCCCGAACGCTCCTATTGGGCGAGCCCAGCCCGAGGCCACGCCCACGGAGCTCGCGGCCGCCATTTCGCGCTCAACATCGGTAGCGGTGGTCCCCCGTTTTCCCAGGCGGCTGCTGGGGGCCGCTTTTTTGCCTGAGAGTTTCCCCTTCAGTTCCTTTGGGGGAGCGTCTGCCTCTCAGTTGTTGCCGACCTTTCGCCTACAATTAGTGGACAATTACAAGTTTTACAGTTTTATTTTTGTTAAACCGTTAGAGTAAAACTCAGCCGTCTTTCCTTTTCAACTCTAACCCTTTCACTTTGTTTTGAGGGTTATAAACGTTGTCTTCAATCAGTATTAGATATCCATGACAAATGCTTACTAAATGTTCCCTTCAAACTCAAGAAATTCATTCTAGAAATTTGTTAAAAATGTAGATCCCAAATAAAGTCTTGGCGGGAAAAATAACGCAGGGCGCGGAGGAGGCCCTGACCCGGCGGCGCGCCCCAACTTCCATCTTTCAAACATCTGCCAATTAGGACGGAGGGAGGGAGGTGACGGGGGAAATCGCACAGTTTTAGTTTGCTGTTGTCAGATTTCTACAGAGGTTAATTGTCATGTATATTGTTTCCTAGTATTCTGTGAATTGTTTGTTAAATCTTGTATTGATCTGTACATTCTGGATGTTAATCCTTGTTTTTATTTCATGGGCATTAAAATGGAAGTAGTTAAAAGAGTATATATATGTGTAGCTAAATCAAAAAGAACGATAGTATGACAATTTACGATAAAGGCAATAATATTGAGACGAGATATTCTGGGATTAAATATTCTCAATTCTCTTAGCAAAATCTAAGAAGACAGCTACTGGAAAAGAAAAATCTGTCTAAACATTTCCTTGGTTGTGGAGACAGAAAAATGAGTTAAGTAAAGCTTTTGGGTGAGGGTGGTTTATTTTTAAATTTTGAGAGAATTCCATGTATTAATTTTTAAGTTTCAAACTTGAATGACATGGATGATTGGCAAAGGAAATGATATTGTAAAACTTCATCAAGAGGAAGGAGAGACTTGAATCAGATCAATAACTTGAATCAGATCGATAGCAGCAATTTGTTAAGATTTAACTTTAAAGACCCTGGACCCTGGTCTATAAACGCAGTGGTCTTCCAGTCAGATTATCCAAGGAAGTTCACCATGGCTAGGGAGGCCCACATATTTTAAAGAAATCGATTTCCAGGTCTTCAGTCTCACAGGCACTTTTTTATTCCTAGTTTACAAAAGAGCGTCAATTCTCTATCCCATATCTTCTTGATGCATTGACCTGGGGTGGGGAAAAGTCCCACAACACCGCATGGTGGTGGAGCTTCCTTTGATGATCAATGGAGTCACCAACAACAGGAAAAGCTTCCAATCTCGTTTTATTGCAATTAGATAAGGAAACCTAGCTGTGGTGGGGTGTAGGGTGGAGGTGACCTCTAGACCTCTGCGGGGTATCCTTAATTTATAAAGTTAAAAACATTTCCCCCCACAAATACAAATATATGTAATTATTTCCAGCCAGTCTCAGTACTCAATACCCTAGTTAATGTGCCATTAACTTGATGGACAAGTTCTATGAATTAAATGGGCCCAACCAAACTGTAGCTCCAAGGTTTTCATGAAAATGGATTTGAAGTAAAATAAATCTTTTTGTAAAAAAGATTTTATCGGCAAAAGGTGTAATGAAATCAGCAATATTTAGATGTCCCCAACCATTCTGAGTGTTCTGGGTTAAACAAGGTAACTTAAGTGAAAGAATGAGAAGTATAATTATCATTTGATAAGTCTTGGGAAAGCCTTTTTTGGGGGAGAATTTCCCAGAGGTTGAGAAATTTACTTAATATGACGAGGTTCCATCCTTTTTTGCAAGTCAAATAATTTTCATTTGCTTTGAACAAAAATAAACAAAAAATAATAATTACTGACATTATATCAACATGATTTGTGGCATATAACTTTAGAAGGAGATCACAGACTTGAGCAATACTGCTCTAACAAAACTATCCATTTATATTTACATGAAGGAGATTTCTCTGGGATCATATAAAGAAAATAGAAATAAAATTGATATTGAGTGCTAGCACATCTTATCAGTAAATCATATATACTCATCTATGGATATGTGCTAATGAAAAAAAAATACCATTTAGCTAATTAAGCAATTCCAAGAAAAATTTATGTATGTTTATAAAATTATATGCCTTTTATCAACTGAGTTTTACTAATAATTTTAATGGTAATTCATTCCGGAAAATTTTTATACACTTAGAGCTTTAGTCACAAGAAAAGTTTATTAAATTTTAATTTATTTACATATTGTTGGCTGAGACATATGGGAAGATGACCAATAAAAAATTTAAAAACGTTGAAGTGGAATGGAAATTCAAGGAATAAAAAAAGGGAAAAATGTAAAATTAATTAATGTAAAATTAAATGTAAAATTAAAATTAAATAACGTTTATTTTTAAGATGAATGTTGTGCTTATCAAATCATTATTTACATACCACTTGATACACTTAAAAGTGATGTAACAGTTTTATTTTAAAAAGTCAGTATTTACAATAAGCCAGAAAATGTATTCTAAAATTTAAAATTATGAAGAATTGTATATGTCAACTTTAAAAGTTGAAGTTTTTTTAGGGGGTCATGTGAACAAAATATGTGTTGTAGGTGGTCCGAGTTGGGTGGCAGTTGTTCCTACCACTGGAAACACAGCCACGTAGCCACCATCCACATCCCTGCTGAATTAGTCACCTATTCCTACTCATGCTCAATTTAGAGAGTTAAGGAAAGTTTGAGCTGGAAGGATCTTTAAGCTGTTCCATTTCTCAATTTTACTAGCTTTGTGACCTTGGCCAAGCTAGTCACATCTCTAAGCTTAATTAATAATAGTTCAACACACAAAGAGAATGTCATAAAATTCTACACTAATTGAATTGCCAAATAAATGGTCTGATCAGGGATCTTGACCTTGACCCTCATAGAAGAGGGGCCAGGCCTGTAACCTATAGAGTGTCGCAGAGAGAGGATGAGCTGGAGAGAACATGTGAGGGAGGAGAGGAGGCATCTGAAAAAATACAAAGGAAAGGGCCTGCAGAAATGTCAGACTCAGCAAGTTAAAACTGCTATCTCCCCTCATTCTGCCCAGTGCTTTCCCCCTAACATGTTTTCCCATAGCTACCTCCCCCACCTCAAGGACTCTCCAGCTCACATCTGTTGATTCATGGCTTGCCAACCAACTAATGTTCTTCCTTAGCTCTGTAGCTGTGTAGAAATAACAAGACTGTGTAAAACAGCTTGTTATGTTACAAATGGAGCTCAGCCTTTGGCTAGGAATCCACTGAGCAGGTGCCGGCATCAATAAGTGCTGCACCCTGCTTATTATAGCCTAGGTGTCCCGTCCCTCTGTTCAAGAATCCTATAATGGAGCTTATAACGCCAAGGTCGTGGGTTCTACAAAACAAACAACCTGTAAGACCAATGGTCTGGAAATTCCTCCCTGCTTGTAGCCCTCCACCCAAAGCTCCTCCTCTCCATCTGAGTAAGGATTAGGCACATGTGAAGCCTCAGACAAAGGAATCACGTGCCCCTTGCATGGACACTGCAGAAGTATATAAACTGTAATAAATCTAACTAGAGCGAGCTCGTGCATGGAGCTGTGCATGTGCTCCACCGGCCTAATAAATTCTCCTTCCTCTAACAAAGTTGTCTGAGTGTCTGAATTCCTCCGTCGGGTCGCTTCCTGTAACACATGAAGCCAGCCACCCTCTTGCTGGAGGAATGCTGTCAACAGTGTCAGATCAGAGTTTTCAAGAGAAGCTGGTGATCTGGATTTTTATGTGAAACCTGCTAATTGCCTTAAAAAATTTTGTTTAATGCTTTCATACTGTGCAGGGTAGGAAAAAAAATGCAACTACCAGTTGCAAACAGCTCAAAGGGCTGATGGTTTGTTGTAATGTTTGGTTGAGATAATAAGTACTCAGGAGGGGAAATGGGCTGTATAGGTTTTTTTTGTTGTTGCTGGGTTTGGATTTGAATTATAGAGAAGTGATTAGATTCTTACAGAGTTGAGTTTTAGTTATGAATAGACTGTAGGTTTCTCAAAAGATCTTACAATTCAGTATGGTGTTATTTTGTCCTGACAAGGAAAGAAACCATTATTTTATACTTTCCTAATTTTCAGAGATTTTCATTACCATCTCAATGGCTAACTTAAGATGTTCAGCCATGTGAAGTAGGAAAAGTTATTGTGCTTCATTTTGGAAGGAGCTGCACCACAAAATAAAATTTCCCATGGAAGAGAACAGAGAAAGGCATAATATGTATCACCTACCTAATGGCAAATACATAATTTTAAAATCAAAGAATGCCGTCTTTGGTGAGTACCCATGTGCAAGACATTGTGGCAGGTACATTAATTCCATAAATGTGTTTTGTTTTAGGAGGAGGCATCACTCTAGAAAGCAAGATGTGGAACCTGGTGTGTATGTCCTGTGGTTTGTGTGAAACCTGTGTGTGTGTGTGTAGAGACGAAAGGATGTTTACAAGCACAGACACTCTGTAAGACACGACGGGCTTGGAGACAGTGTCTGGGATGGAGGACTGCCTCCACACGGAATCTTCTTTAGTATGGATTGATTTTTTTGTTTGTTTTACTACAGGCATTTATCTTAAAACAAACCAACCAACCAACCAACCAAAAAATCAAACAAGACAACTAAGTGAACACAATTGCTGTGATATGCTGAGCTTCCAGACCGCAAGTGGGATAACACTGTAAAACAAACATTCAGAGCATTCCACGACATTCCACAGCATTTTCCTTTAACTTAGATCACCAAAAAATTTTATCTGGCAAGAGTGCTAACATTTGACCTTTGCTCCTTCACTGTTCCCTCTGAAAAAGCTCTGTCCTCACTGCTGTGGCAGCAGATCAATGGGACAGAGACCTACGACCTGGCTGACGCCAGGGCCACGTCTTCCCCTGACCTGCTGTTCTGAGGCCTCTGCCCAGCACGATGCCCAGAGCAATGCCCTGGGTCCATTTCCTCTCCTCACCCGCACTGTCGTCCTACCAGATGGCTTCTAATTCCGGTTACCTTTAGGGGCTAGCCACACAGCTCCTCCCAGCTGTTCCCCACATGTCAGCCTTTGGTAAGCCATGTTCATGATTTTTGCCAGATTCAAGAGGCAGTTACTTAATATATTTTTTTACATTGTCTAATTTAAAAAATCCATATGTACGTTATGACATTTTACTTATAAAATTAGAGACGTTGAGGCATCAAGGTGTCATGACTAAGAGCGTGGGCTTGAGAGGCAGATGTCTTGGTTAAGCACTGGCTCTGCCATTTCTGAGTAACTGGGTCAAGTCACTTCCCTTTAATTTGGTCTTCTTCTTTATAAAGAGGGGATAATAATGGCACCTATCATATGGGGCGGGCTCGTGGGTGGAGGTAGGAAGTCAGTCTCCCTTTCAAAAAAACATTCCTGCAGGGATGCTATCTGTATATGGTTGGGGTGGGTGAGAGGCCCCTGCCCAGTTGCCTGCCTAGTGTGCTGTGGTGCTGCCAGCCTGGGGCATGGCAGTGGATACCCTGCCCTACCCTGAGATTCAGAAGGTGTGACTCGATCCTCCCTGGGCCAGCAGTGGTCATGGAGTGGGGTCAGGGAGGTGTAGGGAGAAGCCCCAGGGCAGTTCGAGTGAGTCAGGGCAGCCGAGAATCTGTCCCAAGAAGGCAGTGGAAGGTGGGACCACACGAGCCTGGCTCCCAGACCCCCACACGTTGCTTTGTTCCACTGGACTTCACTTAAAAACACAAATTCGGGCATATAATTACTAAGAATATCAAGCATGGGTCACATCTCAGTGTCTGGCCTTGTGTGACCACATTAACCAAAGCCTGCATTGATTACACACTATAAAGCCAGTCCTGCTATAAAATTATTGAAGATTAAATGAATTAATGTATGCACAGATCTAAGACTAAGATCTGGCACCTAGGAAACACAATATAAGTGTTGGCTATTATTCATAGCACCACCATAAATGGAAAACAAGTATTTTTCAAATATGCATTCGTTCAAATATTTATTATTGTGTTAGGCACTGTTCTAGGCACTGGCACATTTTATTTATCACTGAACAACTAACATTTATTATTTGCTTACTACATGCCATGAACTATCCAAGAGGCCTCCAGAAGACCCCAGGCCTGACTCTGGGGACTGTCTGCCAGTGGGTGGGTACACAGACACCCCACTGACCCATAAAAATGTGGGGAGCTAGAGGGAACCAGATCCTGGGTTGAACAGGCTCTCTCATTACCTTCTCCACCTACTTTCCATTGCCAGAATCTCAAAAGAAGTCAGATTCTAAACTCTACTCATTAATCTTTCTTAACCACTGAAATTCTCACAATTCACTGTTTCTGTGTTAGTGCTGACTTCTGTAGCAAATTGTCCAGTGGACAGGACAGAATCAAGAAACCTCCAGGGCACATTGTTGCTTCTTAGACAGCGCTCCAGTGTTTAGTTAGCACTGCCATGGAGAAGAAAGTGTTCTGTGTGCTATGCCATATGCGGCCACAAGCCACATGTGGGCTACCGAGTCACACATTGTTTCCGTCCTTCTCACTAATGTGCTGAAATTATTCTAGACACAGGGCTGAAAAGGACTATGACAGATCACTGGGTGAATCAAAAGTCCCCACATTACAGTCTGGGAAGTGCGCTGCTGTGTCCAGTGCATAGCTAAGTTGCCTGCAACCACACCTCCTGACTTCCGCCTTGGTGCCTTGACTCAATGGGGCGTGTGGTGCGCTGTCACCTCGCTGGAATTTTGAGACTGACAGCAGAGAACTTAAGTGCTTTTAAAATGCATACGGATCAGCTAAGCTCAAACTCGCACATTTCCTTAAGGTCCACCAATGAGAAGAAAGATGCTGTCTGGGGAACAGAGTGAAATTCGCCACCCCAGTCCACCTCACCCCATGTGTGGATATCCGCGGCCGCCACCCGGTGCAAAGAAAACACAGAAGTCAGGCATGTGGACACGTGAGTTTCGTACAACTCGTCTACCAGGGTCGCGCCAGCCCGTGTATCAGAGCCAACTGCCGCGGACCCTGCGGGGAGCACGAGGGGCGTGCCCGCCGGACCTACCTGCGTGCGCCGCGCCATCCGCGCCGCCGTCTGCACCGCCCAGCCCCGCGGCCGCGCGCAGCGCGCTCCCGCAACTCGCCGACAGGTTGCCGGTAGCTCTGCGCGCCAGAGTCAGGATGGGTCCCGACCAGCCCTCTGCCGCCGCCCGCCTCCTCCCGGCGCTCCGCAGCTCGCCCGGGCCCGGCACCTGGCTCCGGTCCACGATCTCGAACTCTTCTCCCGGCTCCGGTTCCGGCCCCGGCCCCGGCCCTGGCTCCCGCCCGGCCGGGGAACCGTCTCCCCCATCGGCCATCTTGGCCGCGTCACGTGTCCGCGGCGGACGGGCGTGAGCTCCCGCGCCCTCGTTGCCCCGCTTCCTGTTCGCCAAGTCCTCCTTCTCCATCCTCCTTTCCTTCCTTCCACTCTAAGTAGGTTTGGGATGACACCAGTCCTCACCCGGGAAGCGCCCGGTGCCCACCAGCGGGTGGACTTGTTCCCAGGAAGTTATTCTCCCGCGTTTCTCTGCAGCGGGACGCCCGCCCTGATCACAGCCCCCAGGGCCTCAGTTTTCTTCTTGACACTGGTTCCTCTTCATTTTCATTTCATATTTTACTTATTCTACTTAGTCATTTTTCTGCAGCGGTCTTCGGAACAAGCCCTGAAAAGGGTGGGTAAGGAAGCAGGTGAGGCAGGAAACAGGATTTAAAAAATGAAATAACCAGGACAACTTTGTAGTTAGGGGCACATTGTGGTGGGTTGGAAATCAGAAAGTCTCGAGTTTGCTATTAGCTAAATGGGGACAATGACAGAACCTACCTCATTATTAAATAAGATTTTGCAGTAAGGAGCACAAGGCAGACGTTAGTAGTTGTAATGGCTGTTACCCAATTGATGCGGTTTGGGGAAGACACTAGTAAGGAGTTATGGTCTGTTTTGTCACTTGGAATAGAAAATTTTGCAAAGTAGGGACTCAAGTTTCACTAGTATTTGACACTTTGCAAAGTGCTGCACAGGGACCTCAACAAACCAATAGGACTGTTTGGTTTGACTCCCAGAGAGCTTAAAATTTAAATTTAAAAATTTTAAGTTGCAGATATTTAGAAATCCAAAGATTTTGCATGAAATCTGGATTTGGGTCTTTTCGAAAAATCGGAAGATTTGGCAACGGTGGAGTGGGCAGTGGCAGTTCGTTTAGAAGACCAGGTTCTCTAGGCATCTTGGTCCAACCCTATTCATTAGTTTTCATCATCTGCCTGGTTGTTTAAGGCCAGCTGTTTACAGTGGGGAGGGGAGTGAGTGGGGAATTGTTGGGGATGGTGTTTGAATTGTCACAGTGATCAAGGAGTGGGGTGGACATGAGTGATACGTAGTCCGGAATGACAAGCAATTGTCAGGATCCTTTAGGACTCTGCAGTGCCTGGACAATCACCTAAGTGAAAAGTTTTATAATGATCAGAGCCTGGAGCCTAATTCCATTTTGCACAAAAACACACCTTTTTTTTTCCAGGTTGGGGGAGAGTTTTAGTATTGTATGTGACTTAACATAACAAGTGTGTTTTACATCATGCTTCACTGGGGGATCCGGGCTGTTGGAGGTCCCATAACTCAGAGCAATTTTGCATCGACATTTAAATGCCCAGCTCTGAAGTGACAGACTTTGCTTATACACATTTCATTGGCCAAAGCAAGTCATATGCCACCTTTAAGTTTAAGAGAGTTAGAAAGTTCCATCCTACTGGTGTCTGGGAATATTGGTGAGCAGTACGATGACTACTATAAATGTACTCTGAATTTTTTCAGAATGCAACAAAGTTGATTTGTTCAAAACCTAGTAATTATTTACCAATTTAGAAAACTGGTCACCCAGAATTATGTTGCTTTTGGTATTTGGGATGTTAAGACAATGCCTGTGCTGTCACAATCATGGGTATTTTATGTAAAGGTACAAATGTCTGGTTACATTTCTTTTAGTGGTAGTTGTGCCTCATTTGCATATTGAAATACATATTATAGACTTATTTCTCTTATTACAGTTAGGACATTATATTTTAATATTTTTATGGTGACATTGGTTAACAAAATCTGGTAAATTTCAGCTGTACATTTTAACAGTAAGGTATATATATTTACATTGTGTATTCACCTCTCATAGTTAGATTTCTTTCTGTCACCACATATTTGACCCCTTTTACTCCATCTACCTTCTCCCTTGTTATTATTTTGAAATTTTGAGTGTTGGTAGGTTTATTATGTATTTCAGAATTTCATTTCAGAATTGTAAATGGGGCACTATAAAATATATGATAGGGTAGACAATTGAGTGTGCAGGAAATTATCTTAATTCTCCTAGCAACAAATAGCAATTCTAAGTTCTTTCAATTTTTACTTTATCTGAGATCACCTTTGGAGAAAACTTGGTAAGAGGGGTTTTGGTGAAGAGGATGTGTTTGATTACTTTAGGCCCAAATAGTAAAATATTGAAGACACCCTAACATATTATTTTCTATAATTTACGATATGCTCAAAAGTTTCTACAATAAAAATCCCACCCCCAAAACGTGGCCTGATCTTCCCTCCTCATGGCCCCCCAATTTTTTTTTTTTTTTTTTTTGCCATTGCCCTCTGTGTGGTTTGTCCCCTAGCTCCTTTCTCCTCTCTGCTTGGGCCCCGTTTCTTACGCCTTGGGGTTCATCTGCCTGCTGCCTTCTCCTGAGTGTGATTCCCCACTTTGCCCATCGCCTGTCACTCTTGCTTTTCTTTCTAATCTTTTGGAGGATTCTCATCTCTCAAATCTGGCCCTGTCCTGCTACTCCAAGTGCCACTGCCCAAATGGATACCTGTGTTTGCAGTCATCCTCCAGGGTGTTTCCTTGTGTGTTGGGGCTGCATTGCCTCCGTTCTGTCCCTGAAACCCCAGCCCTTGGACTTCCAAAGGCTTAGAGCTGGTTCTGTCACCTTCCTGCTTCCAAACCTCCGTTTGCTTCCCCATTGCAGGAGGCTTGGTCTTGTCTGTGTGCTGCAGGTGTGGATTGCTCACTTCTGCTTTGCGTGGTCTAGCAATTGAGCTACACAGTACCCCAGGGTGGTTTGGTGATTTGCCTGAGCCCAAAGCAGTTCACAAAGACATGGATCCTCCTGGCCTCATTGGTACTTCAAGTTGGCCCATCAGCTCAGAGTGCCTGGGGCTTTACTAGTTTTCCCACATGTACACAGTTTACGTTGTGTTTGGCATGTTATAATCTCGGAGATCCTGCCTGTCAGGACATAGTACCTTGGAGCCAGGAACGGCCAGTTAAAGTCTAATCACTTTTCTGAACAGTGCAATATGAAACACACCCATTGGCTATGACCCTCTGAGGTGATGGAGATGTTCTAGGTTTGCGCTGTCCTGTCTGGGGTCACCAGTCCCAGGTGGCCCCTCAGCACTGGCAGTGTGGCTCATGAGACTGAGAAATAGAATATTTACTATAGTTAAACTGAAATTCAGATAGCTCTGTGTGACCACTGGGTATTGTGTTGGGCAACACAGCTTTAGATCTAACTTGGAGGTTACAGAAAATAGAGGGGAGAAAGGAGGAAGTGAAACAGCCCTGTAGTAAACAAGATTCTTCTAGAGGCAGTGTCCTCTGGATCTGGCTGAAGAGGCAACCTGATGGGACTGGAATTACCTGCTGGGTAACATGCTGGGAAAGACTGGTTTTTGTCAGTTGGGGAAATTTGAATATGGACTGGCTATGAGATATTACAGAATTATTGTTAATTTTTTAAGTATGATAATGGATTATGAGTGCATAGGAAAAGACCTTTATTTTTTAGAGCTGCATTAAAGTATCAAGTGGTAACTTGTCATATGTCTATAACTTTAAAATGCTTCAGCAAAGAAAATAGATGATGCAGATGTGGCAAGAGCCTGACAATTTTTAAAATCTAGGTAACAAGTACAAGATAATAACTACATATTCCCTCTACCTTTCTGAATGTTTATTTTCATAAGAAAAAGTAAAATGTAAAAAAAATGAATCCATATGTAACAGGAGCTGATATTTCAAAAGAGTAAAAAATCCTTACAAAAGGCTGAATTGAGATTTTTTTTTGAAAAATGAAAACAAAAATTAATAAAATAAGTATGATTTATCTCACATTTAACATTTAGAATGTTTGCAACCATGTGCACACTCAATTGCCTACCCTATCACATATGAATACAGAATGAATAAATGCTGATTTTTCCACACAATTTTTCTGAAAAAGTACATGATATCAAGATATGGCATCATTCATTTTACATCTGATTTATGGTGGACTCAGAGGATCCAAAGCTATTTAAGCTTCATCTTATTTCTCAAGGCCTCTTCAATCTGTTGATAGACAATCATACCCTTTTTTGTGGCCACATTTCCATATTATTTGTATGTCTTTACATGTAGCTAGTTAGTACTCAGGCTAATTGGCCAAAGCGGTAAAGAAATTATCCCATCATTTACCATGCTGTTCATCCTTCTGGATGCTTCCGTGGGATGGCTCATAGGAAAACGGAAGCCACTTTATGGTATTATTACTTCATACTTTAAGGCTATCTAATAAAAATAAAACTCATGCTGTATTTTTAACACAAGTTGTAAATTCATTATATTTTCAACCATCTTGTTTTGAAGCTCCTATTCGTTCGTCAGTGTTGACTTTTTCTTCTGCCGACATCATGTGTCAGTGGCTTTGTGGGAATAGAGTGGGACCTGAGCATTGCTTTTGTTTACTCATGAAATTGTGCATCTTGAGTATGATCAAGTTTCACTGCACAACTGGTTTTCATTGTAGACATCTGAGAGCAGCTAGGGACTGGCTGGCCATCTGTGCCACAAGTGGGGAAAGGAGCCTTGGAG